TAAACTTTTGACCAATGTGACCAATGATGGCGCTCGACTCTGCCCGACAGGGGGTCAAGCCTTTCCTGACGGGGGGGGGGGAATCACACAAGTGAATTCAAAATATTTAAATAGAAACGTATTTTATACTTTTATCACATAATTTTTTTTCTTCAGAAATGCGTTTCTAAGAAGTAAAAATCAGTGATTTTGATACCATAATGTGCAGATTCATTTTAATGTAAATCTGAATCGCATTTTTTCCCCTCTGTTCTTCGTAATTTTGCTGTACGACAAATCTCAAAATTTGATTTTTTAAAATTTGATTCCTAGGAACTATTCGACCGATTTCGCTCAAATTTTGCATTTTGTCATTTAAAATTGCATTCTTTAAAATAATGTTAAATTTGGGAACCTTACAATTCAAAAGTTTTTCGACTATTAAATTAAATAATAAAGAATAATATATATTTACTAAAAAATACATTTTGCATGAAATTATCTTCGAAAAAACGAATTTTATAATAGTATGTGAAAATTTTTTCAATTCGTTTAAAAAGTTTCTAAAGTATTGTGAAATATGCAAAAAGTAAAATTAACAAAAGGGGTGCAAACTTTGGACTGCGCTCCTGACCAAACTATTGAAACCATATTTCCCTGATTGCGGCTACCCGTATATTTTGGGGATCAGAAATCTGAAGTCGTCGAAAAAAAAAGGTATGTTTAATCAGAGAAAGTACTTTTCCTAAAGTTGTTTTCTTAGTCTAATTTCCTAACTTTAAATATCATTCGCATAAGTAAATTAGCATATTTGAGGCCATACCCTCAAACCATTAAGATTGAGTCCTAGAATGTTAAGATCCGATCATTAGATCAAAAGTTATTAAGTTTAATCAGTTTATTTTTTTGAACACTGTACATCCATTGCTGATAATAGCAAAAGATTCTTTCGTTTCTAAATAGGAAGATAATTTAGCTGGTGGTTATCCTCATATATTCGCTTTAATAATTTAAAAGATTAAGATTATAGGAAGAAAATAAGGTGAAATGATGTTCATTTTCTGTATTATCAGACATAAATAAAAGCGTTTTTCATTTTCGTCCTCTTTCGCATAACTTTGTTCATTTCAATAACTGAAAAAGGCATTTTCCCGAAAAGAATTTTCGTCACTATAGCGGAAAGCTAATAATTTTTAATTCGTTATAATGAAAGAATTTATGTCTTAAATATTAAAGTTTTCAAGGTATCGTAATATCGGCCTTCTTGCAATATGCCTCTCGATATATCAATCCATTACTGTATTTAAAAATCGTAAAACAACGAAATGTAATTTTAATGTAAAGAAAAAATATTAGCGCTTATGGGAAACGTATTAAAATTATACTAAACTAATTGTATAAATTGCAAAAATTTCCATGAAAAAAATTGCAATCTTTAATTGTATTGTTTGTATTTTCTTTATTTTTTCTTTTATCAGGGTATTTTTATTTTAATGCGTTTTTAAGTTCAAAAACATATGAAGTAGAATAAGTATTAATCGTTAGTTTTCTATTGAAATAGAAAGGGAAGGCCCATAAACCTTGCAATGTACAGTTCGTCGAAAAAAAAAAAAAAACTGACCCCCCTAAGTAGTTTTTGATCTAATGATCGGATCTTCAAGTTCTAGGTATAATTCTTAATGGTTCAAGATGGTGACTTCAAATATGCTAATTAATTAGAGTAGACGATATTTTAAGCTACGAAATCAGACATAAAATCGCACTTTCTCTGAATAAACATACATTTTTTTCAACTGATACGGATTTCTGACCCCCAAAGTATAGAGTATAGCCGTAATTTGAGAAATATGGTCCCGATAGATTGGTCAGAAGAGTGATCCAAAGTTTGGATCCCTTAATGTTAATTTTACTTTTTGCGTATTTCGCCCTATCTCGAGAAATTTTTAAGCGAATTGAGAAATTTTTGCACAAAATTAAAATTTTTTTCAACTATTATTTTATATAAAATAATAAATATTTATTAAAAATTATTTGTTTGCATAGAATTATCTTGGGATAAACGAATTTTGTAATTGTGACCAAACTAAAGGGACCATATTTCCCAGATTTCGGCTACCCCCTATATTTTGAGGGTTAGAAATCCGAAGCCATTGAAATAAAGATATGTTTATTCAGAAAAAGTACGTTTTTGAGTTTGATTTCGTTACTTAAAATATCATCTGCAGTAATTAATTAGCATGTTTAAAGCCACCCCCTTGAACCATTAAGAATGAGTCTTAGAACGTGAAAATCCAATCATTAAATCGAAATTTATTCTGGTCTGTCAGTCTTAAAAAGTGTGGTAGCGTGAAAACGAAGGGGTGATGACAATCTTCTTGTCTTCCCCTATCCCTCAGGGGTGTTGAATAATTTTACATATGGATGCAAACAAAAGACTTGACCCTCAGAATTTTCTGAGAAAAAGTTGGAACAGGAAGTCGAACTGGTAGTAGAAAAGAAAAGTAACTAAAAAGAGCACATTCTTGTCCTTATGCTTTTAATTTATTCTCATTCACAAAAAAAGGACAGGCTAGCTCTTTAAGGTCTATACTTCCGGGTTGCTGTTTCCGGTGTATTTTGAAGCCACTTGGTTCACAACGTGATCATTGTGTTTTAAAACTCCTTTCAATATGTGTTATATACGTGAATTTTTTACCGGATTTATTATTTGTGTCTAAAAATTTTCTATGAGAAACATCATTTGAGCACCTGTCATTTCTAGACGTAAGAATCGTCATTTGAAAAAAATAATTGTTATAAAATACTTTTTACCTTGTCAACAATATATCGACTTCGAAATTTAAATGTAAGTGATAATTTGTAAACTGAACTTAAAGTAGTAAAGAAGTAGTTTTTTCCTGACGATTTTTTTTACTTCCTTCGAATTGGGGGGGGGGGAGGAGGGTAAACGATGCCCGATATCCGTTTGAAAATATCGCCTCGCAGAATAAGCTGTAGTAAGCAGTTACAAACTTTCTAGCCGGAACTAGAGCAGGCATTGAGCTCGAGATTGCTATGGATGGTGTTTTCTACTCTAGGGAACGCTGCAAGCTCCATGCGTCCTATACTTCCTCGTCACTGTTTTCAATGTATTTTAAAGCCATTTGGCTTACAGCGTAATCATTGTGTTTTGAGATTCTTGCAAACGTGGTATTTGATTACTTATTACTTGTGTTTACAATGCTAAAGGTGCTAAAACTAACGTAAGATGATGCACAGCTTGCAACAAGAACAAGCAGTTATAAACATATGGAAAGAGGCCAAATCAGGACTGCTAAAAAAAGCGAGTTATTCAAAATCTAGCAACCATGTCACCTTTTTTAATAATAAATAACANAAGTTGCAATAAAATATTTCCTAATTTAAATATTCGAAAAAATCAGCTGAACATAAGATATACTTTGGAGTAAGGAGGAGAAAAATGTAAGGTAGCAGAATTCGCTAATATAATTTTATTTAGTATTTCTGCTAAGTAAATAATGCATGGAATGACATAAAACTATTGTTCTATGTTTTACTGCTTCACAGCAATACAGAAAATTAAGTAAAATTGTATCGCCGAATTATTCTACTACCATCCATATCTTCCTCTTGCTTATTCCAAAAAAATAAAAGCAAATCAAAATAATATCAGAAAATACAAAATCTAATACTATATAGCATCAAAACTAATGCAAAATAATATTATGGCAAACGCTGGATAATATTAGCTTGCTTAGAATCTAATATTATATAATGCAGAGCAAACAGCGACCTCTTGTATCTTTCTAATATTAGAAGTTGTGTAAGATAACGTTAGATTTTGCCGATTTTCTGATGTTATCTAATATTAGGTGCTACTTGGGATGCTAAAGGTGCTAACACTAACGTAAGATGATGCACAGCTTGCAGCAAGAACAAACAGTAATAAACAAATGGAAAGAGGCCAAATCAGGACTGCTGAAAAAAGCGAGTTATTCAAAATCTAGCAACCATGTCACCTTTTTTAACAATATATCTATAAATAACTTAAACAAATTTTCACTTCAAACTCATCAGAATTACTTAATAACATTAATATCTTATGAAATATGGCAGATTTGAGCTCAGAAATTATCTAAATTACTTCTTTTATTGAAAAAAAAATTATCCGTTTGAAAATATCGCCTCGCAGAATAGGCTGTAGTAAGCAGTTGCAAACTTTCAAACCGGAACTAGAGCAGGTATTGAACTCCAGATTGTTATTGTTTTCATTTATAATGAAAACACCATCCATTGTTTAGATTTGTATTGAAAACACCATCCTTAACGCCCTCGCGTTTGACCACTTTTCCGATCAAATTAAATATTTCTGAAGTTGAAAGCTCTTATTGGAACAAAATTACAAATTTCCCTTTTTTATGTAGTGCTCTAAACAACTTTGTTTAAGGAAACAATTACGTATATAATGTATTTGAAACGTTTTTTTCCCCTCAGAATTCTTAATTTGATTCACCAGATCTTGCTTGAATATATGCGTATCTATCTTTTACTTAATAAACTATCTTTACTCAACCTGAATTATCCAGATTGGCGATTGGGAGAGACCGGTTTCATGCCTGTAGCCCTTCTCCCTTCCCTCTCCTCTTCTTTTCAGTTGTATTAGGAATGTACTACGATGTTTTTCTCTTTTTATTTAATAAAAATATTTTTTAAAATTTCTGTGAAACATTTATTTAGAACTATGTTTAATGTAGTTTTCAGTTCCATACAGTTGTCCAACTTAAAAGATTTTAATCTATATGAAATTCAAGAGAGAAACTAACGTACTTCCTTCCTCTATGACTTTCCACACGCTAATGGGGAAAGCATTTTAAGTTCTGCTCTATGCCACCTGCAGCCCATTTCGATCACCAATTAATAACCTTTCGGTTAATCTCCTGCTTTTTGTGTTCTGAGCGCCACTCTGAAACAAACCCAACCATTTTTGTGCAATGCTATTGCCCTCTTGTGGATATAATTTGTACTTTAGGTGAAATGAAGAATGCGAAAGAATGTTTCATCATTTTTTTCGTTTGTTGATAGTTGATCTATGATTGCCTCATGTCATGTCTTTTTGAGTCGTAAACAAATGCGAAATTTTCGGACTGATTAGTCACGCCCTTTATAGTTGTTACTCATACTATAATCAATTTTTGAGATAGGTTTATTGCACTCTTCTTCGTTAATATTAGCTATTTTATTCGATACTGTTCATCAAAGTTGGGAAAATTCGAAGTGTATCTGCTGATGATTGTGGTCTGTGTTTTGGTTTGAAATTTTCTTTTTAAAATTATGGACTCTACTAATAGAAAGGTATGTATTAAAGTCTAGAATATTTTAACTGGCATATTTGTCGTTTATTTTAAAGTATTACTTACTGAAATTGACATTTTTTATTAAACTAATGGAGCGTGACATTTCCTAGGTCACTTTCGAGTTGGACAATGTTGTTGTGTCCATTGCTGGACCATTAAAAGATGAAGCTCCATTTGCAGGAAAGTTGATGATTGTTGAGGAAGTAAGATAATAAATTTTTTTTTCCAACATACTTCTCGAGTTTGTATAATATGTTTATCATTAAATGTTGACTTTATCTTTTAAAAAGTGTCTTTGTGATATTGTAAATAATAAAAGAAAGATTTGAAAAATGGTTAAATATAATAAATTCTGATAAAATTTTAAATAAAATTAGAAATTTTCCTGTCCCGGTTCTCAAAAGTTTTATAAATTAATACGTTTAAAAAAAATTAAAAGTTGTATTTTTGGTACAATATGGCATTATGTGAAATTGTTTGATTGCAGTTAGAATATAATCAAAAATATTATTTTACGTTAAATCAAGCTTCCAATTGTAAAAATCAAGCTACCAATTGTAAAAATCAAGCTACCAGTTGTAAAAATCAAGCTACCAATTGTTTGTGCTTATGTATTTTTCAAGACTTAGATATATTTATTCTGTAGGAAATGTGTAACTACTATGCATTAAAATTAGGTTAATAAATTTGTGGTTGCAATTTTACTATTTCTTATTGGTATTGTAATAAGTTGAATGGTTTTTGAAATTTTCTGTGTAAATAATTGGCTACTCTTGAATCAATGTAATAATTTGTGATAAAAGTGAATCTTGAGTTATCCAGGAATTAATTCGTCGTCAGGACCCACGCTAAGCATTCGTGCCTCGCCAAATGCAATAAAATTGTAAATTTTGTGAATAAAATTGGCAAATGATTCTTTCCACTGGAAAGAAAAATATATATTAAACATGATCCTTAAAATTGCAACAAAAAGAACTTTTCTAAACAAATCAGTGTTTTTTTTATTCGATTACAGTAATTTTCGGTAGATGCCCAGCATAACCCATCAGAATTGGGTCCGAATAATATAAGCCTGAAATAAACTGCTGTAAAATAGTTTATAGGAAAAAAATTCTTAAAAAATATTAAAGATTTACACTTGGCAAAGACTTTTGAAAATTGGCGAATACTTTTGATATTTGGCTAATTTCCTGTCTAATAATTTAAAATCCTTAGCGCAGGCCCTGATAATGTGTGTTAGGGCCCACGCTAAGCATTCGTCACCTCACCAAATACGATAAAATTCTAAATTCGGTGGAAACAAACTTGTGTTTTTGCAATGATTGTGGATGCAAACTTGTGCCAAATGATTTTTCTACCAAAAAGCAAAATATATATTCTCCGCAATTCTGAAAAAAATGAGTAAAAGAAAATTTGTTTGAATAAATGCTGTTGCTGTATATATTCGACTACAGCAATTTTTTTGTTAAGATACGTCGTGTAACCAATTGAAATTATATTAAGACCAGATAATGTATCAACAAAAGAGAGATTATAAAAACATGAAACAAATTACTGTAAAATATGCATATTATAAAACTATTTTAGCAGAAGACATATTTTCTTCTGACTATAACATAATGTTGCTTCATGTTTATTTTTATATTACTGCTCTAGTCTAAGAAGTTGTAAAAAATTAACCCCAATTTTATTTCTATTTCTTTATCTCAAAAACAACATTGATATTTTTCATTCTATCTCCCAGCTCATTTACTCCTCACCAACTATAAAATTACTCTTGATTTGAATTTCTGTTTTATGACATAATTCAATTTATAGTTAATTTGTAATTTGATTTGAAGTTTTCTATGAAAAGAAATCAATCATAAAAAATTGTTAAGATTTGCCGTTGACTGAGAATTTGGAAATTTGACTAATACTTTCGATATTTGATCAATTTACTGGCTACATGGGCCCTATGTTTTATGGTATAAATTATGTTCTAATTCATAATTATGCTATATAAGTAAATTTGTTGTTCTATGATTCACTTTATTTTCTATTAGTTTTTCTAGCTTCTTTTTCAAGGAATTTTAGAGGTTCAACAATTTACAAAGATATTTGTAGCAATTAGTAGTATTTATATACATAATTATGCTTGATATAATTCAAGTGTTTGTTTTTCACATTTGAAATTAAACAAAATTATTAATTACTTATGCTCTGAAACTCTTCAGAACTTAAAATTTAGCTTTTACATCAGACTTTGAAAGAAAATACATAAAATTCTAATTTCACAAGTGAAAAACATCACAATCTTCTTGTGCTAGACCTATTGTGATCTAATTTGTTCCTTTTAACCATTATATTTTACTCGTATAATTCTTAATCAAATTATACTTAGTAGAGTAAGTCCACCATTGTACTATTTGTGTCAATTACTAAATGAAACAATGTTAATTACAATTATTATAAAAAGATTTAAAAGCAATTATTCTTAGTTTTAACTTTGTAACATATTGTCCAAAACTTTTTTTTCTTCAGCTTAGAATTATTTTTGGATTACTTTCAAATTTTTAATTGTTAAAGGTGCAAAAACCTTTATTCTTTATGAGTCCAAGTTAGTTGATAATTCACAAGAATAAAATGTATTTTTATGTTTAAAAATTTAATATTCTGTTTAAAGATGTTTATTTAATTTTAAAATCTAACCTAAATTTATGTCTAAAATCTATTAAGCAGTTAATAAGGTAATTTACTTTTATTCTTTTTCTTTATAAAATTCATTTTGGTTACGCTTGATAGCTGACAATTGTGTCACCAATGTTTAAAAAGTAATCAATTAAAAAAAATATGTATATGATTTTTATTTTTGTCCTATTTTACCCATGATTGATTCTTTATTTTTTTTGTATGAAATTATTTTTGGATAGTTTACTAATTGAATCATATTTTTTGTTGGAAGAAGCATCTCTAATGCTTGTCATTCCCAGTTATATTTATAAGAATGAAATGTGTTATTATAGAAATTTAGTGTTTAGCTTATGCTGTTTATATTCCATTTTAAAACACTATAATTCAGGTTTTAAGTAATTCGCCTCTTTCATCGAATAAAATGTCATAATAGGTGATAATTTTTTATTTATATTTTTAGGCTCATGGACCAGATATTGAATGGAAACCATTAAAATTGAAATCAGATGATTTGTCTGGGGGAAGTCCTGAATCAGAAAACTTGGAGTGGGAAGATATTTCTGAGTCCGTTGGATTTCGAGCAAAGCATAATGATAGCATTGGTAGGTTGCAGTAAAGAGTAAATATGATTGGATGGAGAACCCTTCTTATCTTTCAAAAATGTTTGAAGTTATAGATTTTAAAAGGAATGGTATACTTTTACAATTGATTGTGTTTTAAATTTGTGTCCCTCGAATGATTAACTTGAATGTCCTATCTCCGTATAAAAAATTAATTGGAAGAAACTGTATGACTAGCATAGAAAATTCTATAATAACAATTTCTCCACCTTGTAATTTTTTAAAAGAATCTTTGAGACTCAGAAATTACATTAAAACATCAAAATTTGAGGTACTATTTTAAGTATTAAAAAATGTAAAATTTTTGATCTATCTTTCTTTTTAAAGAAAATTTTTTGTCACCAAAAAAATATAGCTGAAGAATTTACTTAAAATTTAAAAAATTGTATGAAATTTTTTTTTAGAGAAAAGTTAAATTTTGCTATAGTAATTTGTTTTGAAAAGTTAAATGTAAAATTTAATATTATCAGAGAAGTAAGACAAAGTGTGCAATAATTAAAAAATGTTTTTAATTGAAGAATATTGAAAAAATAATCATAAGCCAAATTGATATTGTTCTTATTATAGTAAGCTATAATTAAGTCATTGTTAATCTATAATAATTTTAATTATAGCTTATATAACTTAATTATAGCATTTTTTTATGTCTCCTTAAAGCAAAAATATTCCTATGGACGTATTTTGAAATAAGTTTTGAATTTTTAATTTATGATATGTTAAAGTAAAGCATTAGCTATTGTTGATGTTGTAGACAGGTATATACACCAAGAATTTGGTATATATACCTGTCCTTGTCAGGTAAAGGGTGTAAATTCAACTAATCACAAGTTACATTAAAGAGTTTAAAAAGTTGATTAATGCGCTGTAAAATATGTTATTTTTTATGTTTTTATTATATTATTTTTGTGTCCGTGAAATGGAATCTTATAGAGAAAGTAGTGACCATTTTCTAATCAGGCTCTCAAATGTCTACTGGAGCTTTATGTCTGATGAAAATACAAGATTAAATTATTTACTAACCATTATAAGTAAAAATTTTTCTTAAATCAAATTTCTAACCAATTTCTGATTAGCTACTGTTCTTAAATTTTAGCTGAAGGTCTGTCTTTAAATTCAATTCTAGTTTCAATCCTTTCATGACATAGACAGAAATTTGGTTTTTTCTTTTTAAATTTATGAATATAATAACATTGTTCTTTATAGACCATTGGAAAAGTGTAGTTTTTAAATTTTTTTTTTAAATTTTTTTTTTACTGAAATATTTCATTTTAAAATTGCCATTTTAAAATTTGCCACTTATTAGGCGAAAAAGAATTAGCTAATTTTTAAAAAAAAAATTAACTATAGTAAAACAGCTATCTAAATCAAAAGTTTAGTAGATAGTAATAAAAAAAAAAGAGAATCTTGGTAATGTTTACTGTCATGATATTTAACTTTGAAAAATTTGTTATAATTAATTTCCTAATTGATATTTCTCAGATAGATTATATTTAAAGCTTCTTTTAATTTAAAAGCTTATGCTTCCATTTTATATTCATTATATTGTCTCAATTTTTAATGTTTGGAAAAGAATGTACAACTTTGTAGCTCATGTATTTCATATGTCTTTCATTATGTATACAATAAAATTTCACTAATACGTTCTAAATAATTATTTCTAATTTTATCTGATTTTAGATGCTGTAGAGATCAAGCCAATTCGTATGCCCAAAGAGATCAAATTTGATATCTCTGATTTAAAATCTTTTAAAAAATCTGAGGTATGTGATGGGCATACAACAGTTGTCACTTTTTTATTAAAAGACGGAACAAATGTGCCCTCTTTTCAAATTGATACTTGTGATTTTGGAAAACTATGTGCTGCACTTGATGGTTATGTTAATTTTCAGAGGTAAGATGTAATTTTTTAACTATATCAGATTCTCAAGTTATTATTTTTACTGTAAATCAAATATTTATTCTTTGTCAAGTTTTTTTATTATTAAATTCATAAAGTAAGATTTCATTAAAATAAATTTATAGATATTTTTGTTTAGTAACTAACATTGTAAATCGTCCTTTGAGTTTAAAAATTATTTTCTCCTCTTCAACTGTTAAATAAGTACTCAAATTATTTTATTAAGAGCATTCAATTGTGCGGAATAACCCAAAATGATACTATTATAAGTCAGAGGTACATTTGTGAAGTCAAAGTTTAACATTTCACTCAGTGACTTCACAGCTTTGGTTTGAAGATACTTCTAACTAGTGAGAATTTATAATTTTGTTATGTTAATATTTGTGTCATGTTTATATTTCAGATCAAAGAAAGAAAGTAATCTTTATCTAACAGTTGATCCGAAAATTGAAGCTCTGGAAAAATCATTTAGTGAACTTGACCTTTTTACTGAAAGAAGAGCTCATATTATAACAGTATGTTTGTATAAACTTTTATTTTAAATACTTGTGTTTCCATGAACTACTAGAGTGGCTTCACTCCCTGCACTCTGTTGCTTTGGAGTTAGTTTCAGAGTGCTTCCTTTCTTAGCTCGCTTTGCTTAGCTACTAGTTTTTTTTTAGTATAACTTTGAACGGGGATGCCCTTTTTTAAATAAATATTTAAAAATATGTATGAAATATAAACATTCTGTGAAATCTTGTATCAATTCAATTCTATTTGCTATTGTTGAATCATAAAAACTATTATCATGGGACCTGCAGTAATATATTAGGTACCTATTAATTATCTCAATTAATAAAGCATGCCTTTGATTCAGATAGTTTTGAACAAAATAGTAACAACATTTCTCTGGAAAAAAATATAACACAAATCAAATAATAAACAATGTTTTGCATTCTAAAACTGAATTTTTTTTTTTTTAATCTGTTGAAAAGTCACTTAATATTTAGTTTCCCTTAGCCCTAAAGTTATTAATTATGTTGAACTAAATTCAAGTAATGGTCCATTAAATGATTAAAAAACAAAGCGACAGATGCAGAGGTTTGTATATGGTAAAAGTATTACCTTCATTACAGACACAAATATGTTGACTATTACTGCAGCTTCAAGTTAAGAAAGATATATACCTTCTACTGGAGCAACTGACAGCAGAAAACCAAGCTGGCTCTAATATTAGATATTGATTTCTTCCACATGCTGAAATTTCATAGCAATTATTCACTTGCTTATAAATTTCAGTTCTTTGTATCCAATGTAAAATGAAAAAGAAATATTATCAGTTTGATGACAATTTAAAAATTATTGCTTCTTATAATATAGATTAGCATTTAATAATTTTAATAAATGGAACTTTTTTGCGGTGACTGAATTTTAAGAAAGGATAGTTTGCAAAACATCATTTAAAATTCCTAATCTTTAAGATTAAATTTTTCCTTGTTAGATTATTGTATCAAATTTTTTTTTGTATTTAAATAGCCTCTTTTTGATAACTTATAATCTGAGAAAAATCTTTATTGAAAAGCTATTTTTTTATGTTTTTAAAATTTTTTTAAACTTAAGTTATAAAATATTAAACTAAAAGAAGAGTAATGTCATTATTTTTATCTTCTCTGAAAAACAAGAAATTTAATTTAATAAATTTGCTTTTGTAGATTGGATATTTTATGTGCTTGATTCTGAAAAATGTAATTTGATTGTAAATGTAATTTGTTTTCTTACCTTGTTTTTAACAAATAAATTTTTTGAATGAGAATTTCCTTTCTTCAGGAAAATAGAAAGTTCGTTTCATTTTCCATATTAAATTATGTGTGCAAATATTTTCAATTAGTAAGTAAAAAGCAACTAAATTAAAATCAGTAATTTAAATTAAACCCTCCGTTTGTACAACAATAATAATAATAAAAACAATTTCTTATAAAATATTTTGAAAATTATTTTTTTAGTTATCCAAAAGGCATAAAATATTTTTTCTTGCTTTTCTTTCCTTCCTTTTCCGAATATGCATGGAAACTTTATTTGTGAAAATTAATTTTTATGAATTCTTTTATTTTTGAATTTAAAAAAAAAAAGTAGAAACAATTTTATATCTAATATCTTAAAAATTATTTTATTTGTTTTTAAAATATTTAAAAACTTTTTATATTAAATCTATTAATTTTATTAACATGTCCCCTGTTTTCTGAAATTTATTACCTATTTATGCAAGTTATTTATAATAAATGATTTTGATGCTAAATTTTTTGTTTCAAATTTAGAAATTAATGCATGATCCAGTAAATACTGCTATGGGCGGTTTTTCCAAAGTGACCAATTTTCTTGTGGACTATCTGGTTTATCCAAATGAGCCAGAAGGTTATGCTGTATGCCCAGAAGAACAGATAACTGAAATTATCTCTGGAAATGTGTTGAATGTTGATATTGATCACCATGAAGAGCCTGGCTATGAATTAATTACCCGAATTGATCTTCCCCCTCGACCAGAAGTTGAAAGAGAAGAACCCATGACTCTAGAAGAGTTTACTTCTCATTTTGATGCAGATGGAAAAATACTTGAAATTGAGGAATTGAAGCAGCGCATATTTAAGGGTGTAAGTATCTGCAACATATTTTTAGTTTGCTATTAAATTTTAACAAATTTATATATATTTAAAAGAAAAAAAAAGATTACTTCTAATAGTTTTTTTAACTTTTTCTACAATCATATTTTTATAAAATTTATATTACGTATAACACATAGCTGCCAACACGATTAGGCAATATCCAGTAGATTTTATGAAACAATATAAATTTCCTGATAATTGTTACAAAAAGTACTAAATATTTTACACTTCGGGAATTTTAGGGATTTTTATAGTCATTAAAATAGAAATACTTCAATAGTTATGATTAACATTAAATGTACTTGAAATGTTATGTATTATGTTTACTCATAATTTTGAATAGTAATATGCATTTAATTCATCAAAGATAGTTAACTGATTTTTATAAATGAGGTGTGTATTAGTGACACTTATTTAAATATTCAAGTAAGGTGCCAAAATTTTATTTCATTAGGGGTATTTTCAGGAAACTTACTCAAGTTTAGGGAATTTTCTGAAATGTACAAAAACCAGGAGAATTTTTAATAAACCAGTAGACCAGGAGAAACTGGCAAAATCCAAAATATATAAGTTTTTGGGTTTAAATTTCATTTTTCGCTTTCAGTGTTCCTTAACATGTAAACTCATTCTAATATATTTTATATTTGGATTTAACAAGAATATTTTTGTGATTTTCATAAATAAATGTATTATACTTTTTTATTTTTATAATTTTAAATCAAAAAATTTTGAAACATTAAATACTTTGTAAAATTTTTTAGGGGCTCTTACATGCTGCACGACCAGATTCTTGGAAGTTCTTATTAAATTTTTTTGCTTTTGATTCAAATGCTAAAAGTAGAGCAAATGTTAAAAAGAAAAAGACGTAAGTATATTTAAATTTTAATGTAGTATGAAGTAATGTATTTTAATTTATTTTTTGATTACATATTTATTACACGGATAAAAAATAATAAATAAAAAGTTTTCGATAAAAATTTTAAATTATGCTTTATTGCTATGTTTCAACTCTCATCGGGATTTAATAACTGTCCAAATACAATGCAGAAGGCTTGAATGTACGTTAATCACAATTACAGACGTTCTTAGCATAGTGAGTGATTTTTTGTGACAAAATTTCCATCCAGCAAAATTGCTTCTTTTCAGCTTATCATAGAGAATGCTGAGCATCTTGATCTAAATTTTTTCAACCATCATTAAAATTTTAAAATAAAATTTAAATTGTAGTAGAAAATTTGAATTACCTAAAAATTTTCTATCCCCAATTTTTTAGCATGCAATTTGCAGAGCATTTTCCTGTAAAATTAGTCCAGAAATCAGCAAATTTTTTTTTGCACAGCAATTAGTTAACCATTTTAGCAGAATTTTATTCAAATTTTCATTAACTTTTTTACATGGCTTGATTTTCCAGTACAAACCTAATTCACTAAAATAATGGTCCATGCAATGATAATTTCTTTTAAGATGTCATTAATTTGCATTTTTTTTACAGCCGAATAGTGCAGCTAATTTTCGGGAGCTTTCTATTTTTTTACTCTTCTTTATAAGTTTTATTTTATCCTTCAATATAAAGAATTTTCTCAAGCTCATCACTCATATTTCAATTAATCATTTACTGAAGCTTTCATTCTGAAATCCCCCAAATGTCTAGAACATCAAAAAAAATAAATAATTTATATATATATGTATACAGGGTGGTCCTAAAATATATGTCAAAAATGTAAAGGTAGGTAGAAGGGACATAAATAAGCATATTTCGGATAGGAATGTGTTTGCGGTAATAGCACATTAAAGCACTAGCTTGTAAAGCAGTATGAATCAAAGGAAACTAAAAAGACAAGTAAAGGCAAAAGAAAATTCGATTCCGTACCGGCTCAAGGCGGCATTACTGCTCACACAATCCTATACGAAATATGCTTATTTAGGTCCCCTCTACCTACCTTTGCATTTTTGACATATATTTTAGGACCACCCTGTATATTCGCTCTACAAGTGTTGGCCTTGTGCAATACTTCTTTCGTGCAAGTATTGGCAATTTCTATAAACTGCTTAAATTGAAAGCTGACTGATAATACACTAAGAATTACGACTCCTAGTATATGTAGAACAAAATTCCTGCAGACCACCCTTGAGAGAAGCAGCTTATCTGTAGTAAGCATAATTGAGCTGCATACATTTGTGTACTATTTTCATTCATACTGTTTGGAGTTTTAGAAAATATTTCATTCATTTCTAAATATTTTATTCATTTTCAAAAAAATACACCAAAAAATATGGGAAAGCTAATTTTTTACTTAAGTTAATTGCTTAGTATTTTTTGTATATTAAGTTAATAGCGTATATCAAGTTAATTGTATATTAAGTTAAATTTTATCTCAATTCGTTATAGTTTTCATTAATGTTTTAATTTTTCATTCTTTTTTACTTTTAGTGAGGACTATTTTAGAATGAAATTACAATGGAAATCTTTTGATGCTGATCAAGAGTCCAGGTTTTCTGCTTTAAGGGAAAGAAAAAGTCTTATAGGTATAATTATCATTGTTTTATGTTTATTTATGTTTTCGTAAATCAACAAATTATAAAAATTTCATAACCTTGATGTTATAACTTTGTTTAATCATTAATTTTACAGTCTCAAATTATATAAATTATGCTACTGTTTTGATTAGCATAGCTTTGCTATATCAATAGTAATGATTAGTAAAAGAATGGTTGCATAGTTATAATTTTTTTGAAAAAAATATTTTTTAAAACTTGGCAATTCTTTTTCAATGTTAAAAGTAGTTAAATTTTCTGAATTTATCTAATGGTAAATTTTAAAAATTAGTTGATTTTTTTAATGAAAAGTATAATTTTTTTGTCACGACAAAAAAGTATAAACAATTTAAAATTATTTTAAAGTTATTATTATTATTATTACTTGAAGGCTTTTTTTTTTAGCATTTTGTATTTGTAAAAGGCATATTTTATTTATTATTCAGAGAATATTTGTTCTTGCAATCAAATTAATTGTAAATTTTATATCAACGAATTTCATTTAAATTTTAAAATTTAGTATTTATAGTATGAAAGTTTTACATTATTTAAAATTATGTATGCATTATAATTTAAATAATAAGTATTAAAAACTATTTTTCACTTAAAATTATTTTTTGGTTACGTTTTATAATATTGTACAAAATATTTTCATTGGTACAATCAGTTATAGAAATCTATGAAAAATACACAAAAAGTAAATGCTTTACATATTAGAACAAATGAAAATTGAATGCAATTTATATTTGTTTCTATTCAAATATTTAAAGGAATAGGATGCTGCAAAAATTTTCAGAAACTGTGTAATTTTAAAAAAAAATTAACTTTGAGAAATTTTAAATATTTTTTAATTTAGCAATGAATTTTTTTTTAATATTAAGTAAAACGTTAAACTGTTTACAATAATTTTATTTCTTTCTTTTTTCTTAAATAGTGTGCTTACTTTTTAGAAAAAGATGTTAGCCGCACAGACAGGACGCATCCTTTTTTTGAAGGAGAGAATAATCCTAATATACTTATGTTGCAAGATATACTCACAACTTATTGTATGTACAATTTTGATTTAGGTAAGTGTGTTTTTTATAAAATTTGTTGTGCACTCATTTTTGTAGTTTGATTGTTTAGAGATTTACTAGGTCTTTCAATTTTGCTGGGTTTGAGTACCTTACTGAATATTATAGCATTTTTGCAAAACAATATAAAACCTATATAGTTTTCTATTGAACGCATATTTTTCTAAATATAGTTCTAAGTAAATTTATAATACACTCATATGTCCAACTATATACATGATTAATTAATTATAAATTTTTCGATGTGTTAAAAAAGAATTATAAATGAAACTAGTAAGAGGGAGACAATAGTTAATTATGTACTTTAATTTTTTTCAATATTCATTTGATTTACTTAAATTTTTAATAGCATTTACTAGCGACTCAATCTCCGTGACCCCCTGGCCCACAACTGTTGTAAGAATGTTTTGTATTTTTAGAGAAGCAAAGATGAGGATGTATGCCAAATTTTTATCTGGTTACATCAGATATTTGTTAGGTAGAAAAATATTGCTTCAATTTCATCAGTTTGAATAAATTAGAAATTATATAAGTTTTGATGTTTTTTTATTTATGAATATTTTTTGAGTTGCTATATTTTCCCCCCTGGTATTTACATAATATTAAAGATTCTGTTTTTATTTTAGGGTATGTTCAGGGTATGAGTGATCTTCTATCTCCTATATTAGTAGTTATGCAGAATGAAATAGATGCATTTTGGTGCTTTGCTGGATGGTTACAAAATATTGTGAGTATTTTTATGAGAAATTAATGGTTGCTTAAATGTTAATTTTATGAAAGAATTATTTATTTTGTTTTGCCATACAATGCTATCAATTTAAAGTTTATTTCTTCTTAATCTTTTGATTTTGTTTGATGTGTACTTTGAAATTTTTTTTATTCGATCTCCTAGTAATTCGAGAATTTGTGAAAGTGTGTTTGGTATTGAATTTTTTTCAAAATAGATTTCATTCGCAAAAGCTTAGAAAATTCTTACACCATAACTGGAAAATAACTAGTCTTTAATTTGTCATAAACAGTAATCAGTTATTGAGATTCGAGTATTACGATTATTTGCTGCTAAAATTTCACATTTTAGTGAAACTTCCATATTTTAATCTTCATTCAATGATATATTTTGTTTACAGAATCAAATATTTCCTGTAACAAATAAAAAAAACAAAGTTTTTTGATGAAAAATTCCATGGTATTGATAAAGTATGGTCTGGATTTTCATTGAAATTTTCCTGATATTTCAGTAAAATTAGAACAATCAAATCGCTTAATGTTTGAAAATCAGTAAAACAAATTATCTTTTTGTTGTAATGTGTAATATATTTTTTTACTTCTTTTTTTGTGTAGGGTGTTAATTTTGAATTAGAACAGCAAGGTATGAAGAATCAATTGCAAGATCTGCATAGACTGCTTCATTTTGTTGATTCGCAACTTTGTAGTTACTTAGGTAATGTTTTATTAATGTTTAATGAATATTTTGAACTAATAAGTTTTATTGTACTCAGAATTTAATACAAAACATGTTTTTTTAAATTTTTTTTTTTCTGTATGAGATCTGAAACTTTACATTTTGTATTAAGCTATTTGAAGGTAAATTTGTTGCTCTAAGCTGTGTGAAAAACTGATGTTTAATAGAAATAGTGTAATGAGTAAAAATATTTATTTGTTGTTGTAGCTTAAAATTCTTTGATCACTGTTCAAGTTTAACGTCAGCTTGTTTCCATAAATGAAAAATATCTTTAGCATTTCTGTTGAAAAGTACAATAATTTATGTATTTATTAATCATTATTATTATTTTTTTTAATTTTTGAAAATTGAGTTTTGACAATAATGAAAGGGCTGTAGAAAGGAAACTATTCATTTTGTATCCTTTCTACATGTATCATATAGTAAGGATAATTTATGTAGTAACATATAATAAGACTCATGTAACATTCAGATTTTCTTACAATTTGTGAGAATCAGAGCTTGTTTATGTTAAGTGTAAATACAGCTGTAAATACAAAGTGTTATTGTAAATCTAGTTAGATTTAATTTGCAGTCAACTTGATTATGAAAGCTTCTGTCTTTTAACGTAAGAGTATGCTAGTTTCTTATAAAAAAAATATCTAAAATAGATTATTCATTTATTACAATATTTCAGTTTGAATTGTTGATTTTTGAGTTGAATACAAAATTTTAAGGCTACTGAGATAGATTTAAATTTTTTTTTTCTTTTTTAAATTATTAGTAATTGAGACTATTCGAATTCCTAATGTATGTTCCATCAAATGGATTACGTGTAAGTGCAGTAGAAATATCTTAAGTTTTTTTTTCATGCATGGCTCATGCTACTAAATAGCAGTATTTGTATTCTTAAATAATAATTGCAAGTTTAATGTTATAGTAATTATAGTAATAGTAGTTCTATTTTTTGCTTGTCACTATTGTATTTTATCATCAGCTAGTTAATTTTTAAAATTTATTATGATTTTCTAGTAAAATTGGCAGTGTACTATGAATCTTAATTTTGTTTATTCATTTACAGAAAGTATATTTTAAATGTATTATAATGGAATAGTTGGTTAATGTTAAACAAACATCAATTATGAAACAATATCCTGGTTTTTATTTATTTCAATATTAATCTTTCCTTGGATATATTGTACTGCAGATTGTTCTATTTCGCAACTAAATTCTTAACACATAAAACTATATGTATGTAATTTTATTTAATATGTGTATTAATAAGTCATACTCTTAATATTGCTGTTAACATTGTTTTTTATCCCCTTTTCATTTAGAGAGACATGATTCTGGTAACATGTATTTCGCTTTCCGTTGGTTATTGATCCTTTTTAAGAGAGACTTTAAGTTTATGGACATAATGAGGTTATGGGAGGTAATTTTGATTGTGTTTTATCTTTTTATGAAAAAAACTTTCATTTAACTGTGATATTTCACATAAAATTTTATCTATGAAATATTTTTTTCATTATTTAAAAATGGTTTATTGAAAAAGTAAAAAAAGTATTTGTGTTAAGCAAATAAATACTTTAGATAGACTTATTTTTAATGAAGATTTAGAATTTTTAATATTGTTATGATAATTTAATATTTATGGTTCTTTAAATTTATTTAATCTTATTTAATTGAACTTTGTTACTAAGATTCTCATTATTTCAAAAAAATTAGAACATTTTTCAAGTGCTATTGATGTATTCTTGATATATCATTTCCCTTAATAAAAGTTCATAAAAACCAGATAAAAAAATATTTTATAGCATTAATTTTGATACTTTCAAAATTGCTCCAACAAAGCAAGCATCATGTAAACAAAAATATTTTAATTTAAAAAAATTCAATACATAGTCTTCTCGATTGTTTTTTTTAACAGCATTCTTTTAATTTTTTATTTTAACTGCATTTCTTTTTGGTTTTCTATGTCTTGTATACCTAATGGCATGGCTTAACATGCAGTTCTCAAATTGGATGAAAGTTCTGAAGAATAGAATTTCCTCTAAGATAGTGAATTTTGTTAGACAAACTTATTATTGGTTTAAATTAGACATGCATGAAAATTTAATTTTTAGCTGAAATTCTTTAATTGCTGTCTTATTCTTTTTTCATTTATTCATTCTACTATTTTTTTTTAATGAAATATTTAAGACAAATGTCTTGTGTATATCAATGCATCAAAGAAATGTACTGCATTAGTATACACATTTTATTTATTTCTGAAATGAAAATAAAATCTTTTTGAGATTTCAAACTGAAGCTTAAATTATAATTTTTTAAAATCCATAACTGAAGTTAAAACTTTTATAAAGTCTAAGTCATTGGCTTTTTATTTTTGAAAGCTTATAACTATTTTTTTCCCAAGTGTTTCTCACGACCTTACATTTTCTAGTTTAATTAATTTGTCTAATTATTTATGCAATTTTTTTAAAATTGCAAATAATTTGGGTGACAAATATGTTTTAATTGTAAAGTATAAAATTGTACTGTTAATTTTTTGATTTATAAAGATAAACTTCTTATTTAATTTTTGTGTATACATTTGAAGTATTACTTTATCTAATTCTAGAATTGTTCTAGAATTAGATAAAGTAGTGTCTAATTCTAGAATTCTAGAATTGTCATACGTATAATAATATATTTTTTCTCAAATTAGAAACAGCAATTAGAAAAAATTTTGAAATTTGCAATTTTTTATAGGTACTTTGGACAGGCTTGCCTTGTAAAAACTTTCATTTATTGATTTGCATAGCAATTCTAGATTCTGAAAAATTGACAATCATGGAGAATGAATATGGACTGACAGAAATTTTAAAGGTAGTAAATTTTCTTTAAATGGACAATCTTAGTCAATCTAAATATTTTTAGTTTTTTCCTTTTTATATTACAGGCATGTGATTCTTCCTCTAATTTGCAGAAATTCACGAATCAATAACTTATATTCCAAAAGCATTTTCTCCGAGTTCCGCTAATCTAAAATCGTTACTTACCCAAAAATCTTGTTAATGAGACGTTTATTCCGTCCTTACCAGCAGCCTCAGTTTTTCTTCCTAAGTTCTCATTTACTCACGATAATGACTTTTTTTAATGCAGATTTATTAGAGAAAAACAAAATTTCAGATAAATTTAAATAACGCGACGGGAAAAAAAGCTCCTTAATAACTTTTGACTGTAAGTACTGAGGCAAACACAAAAGTATAACATTGATGATGATAAACAATTCCAAAAAGGCAAAATTTAAAAAATTGTTTGCTTTAAGAAGTGGTGTTTTTTTTTTTATTAAGATATGGAAATTTGTCCATTTATTAGTCACTTTTTGACGTGACGTAACCAATATTTTTTCAATCTACTTTTTCAGTTATTACTACTGATATTCACATGTTTTTTTTTTAAAAAATTCCAATATTTTCAAGCCTTATTGAGAAAGGAGAGACTTGAATTCCACATTTGAGCAATTACTTTTAGACTCATTCGCATTTCAAATAAAAATATCATTTTAGTGCTAATCAAAAATAAAGTTTTGAAAGATATAAATATGTTTAATATGAACTGTTAGAATAAGGAAAATGACTGAAACTGAAAAGGGAACTTTGCAGTTTCCCTTTATTTAAATGTAATAATTTTTTTATAACTAATAATTTGACAAAAGCTAATTATTGATTATATTGGAAATGCATACATAATTACATTTTAAAAATTAGTTGATTCCCGTTGTTCTATATACAAAAAACATATTTTATTACAAATATGTTAGTCCAGCACTAGAATTTTCCTCCTGAACCAAATTTTTATGTTAAAATTTTTTTTAATATGTATTGCTGGTATGAAATATGCAGTTGTACTCGATACTAAATTTTTTTAGTATATTTTAAACCACTTAACAATTTAATTAGGATAATTGTCTCTATTATGTTGGATGTTTGTTGATTACTTTGGTAACTAACTATTTTCCACTGGAGATGTCTGCTTTTTAAAAAATAACTGTAATAGTGTCATGCTTAATTTTATTACATCATTTGAAAAGCCCTTACTTGAAAGTTGCATAAAATGCAATATTGTTTCCTTTTGGATTTAAGAAGGAAATTTTGGAGTGTTTATCTTTATTTGCATTATATATAGTATTTTATTTCAATTTATTACATAGTTTTTTTATTATATAATTCTCTTACACCTTTTTTTATTTTCCTTATGGAAATACAAATACTGACATATAATTCTACAAGTTTAACATGGAATATTTTCTTTCTCACCAATACAGTAGGTAACCGATTATCCGGAACGATCGGGACCATCGCTATTCCGGATAATTGATTTTTCCGGTTTTCTGAATCGCTACAAAAAGCCGTTTTTTTTATTATTGTTAAACCCAACTAAAAAAAAAATAAAAAAAAATTTGGAAATAATCTTAAAAAGAAGAAAAAACGATGAAGTAATACTCTAATGATTATTTCCAAAATGATGGTAAGGTAAACATCTTTCAAAAAAGAAAGTAAAATCCTAAAATCTTATGAGAAAAAAAGCATTTTTTAAAAAATGGCTGGAAAATTTATCGAATTTGTACCGGTTTTTTGGTTTTCTGATTTCCGGATAACGGGTTCTGTGTACTGTATTTATATTCCGTTAGTGTTATATACTTTTGTTGTATATTACTATGAATTCTTTATTTGTTTGACTAATTTTTTTTTATTTGGTTAAATTTTTATTTTCCTTTATTATAAAATTTTAATATTATTTTTTTTTATTATTTTATTACTTATTCATACATAATGATTCATTTTCAATAACACAAAGTTTTAATTTTCAGCATGTGAATGAAATGTCTTATAAAATTGATTTAGACAAAACATTGTGCAAAGCAGAAGCAATTTTTCAGCAGATAAAAAACAGCAAATACAGGTCAGATATTGTTGAAGACATATTAGGACTGGAGCATATACCAAAAGAGGTGCCAGTTACTGAATCGCCCAAAGAATCCCCAGAAAGGGAAGTGAAAAAATCTGAAAGGACAGCTTTATACAAAAAGAAACCTTTCGGTGTTTCAGCCGATAACATCGATGAGTTTGTTGACCTGGAAAATAACTATCAATGGCAATTTGATCCTTTTTCATGAGAAAGAATTAAAATGTGCCTAGTTGTGGATGCTCTACAGCTGTATGGGGGAGTATGCATTTTGCAATTAATCCTATAGTTTGTAGATTCATAGTTTTAATTTCATCATGACAATTAAACATGTACAGTGCTCAAAAAAAGAAAAGTTATTACTCTAAATATCTTTTGTTTTCATGATCGGATTATAATGAACTGAGGATCTTCACAGCTCAAAATAACTTGCCTGAAATAGGCTAACTTTAAGTTACAAAATCAGACACAAAATATAAACTTAATGAATATGCCTTTTTTTTCTTCAACGAATTTGAATTTTCAACCATCAAAATATAGCTGCAATCTGGAAAATATAGTCTCAATAGTTGGAGGGGATAACAGGTTTAAGAGAAACCAGGTTGACATCACAAAAGTTCAAGTCCCTAAGTCTCTAGTAGTGTTTAAGCAAATTAAGCGGTTTTTAAATTCACCCGCTTTGCTGACTAAATTATTAGGCACCTATTTTCCAGATTGCAGTTATTTCCCTTATTTTGATGGTCAAAAATTTTGTTCCATCAAAACAAAATATATTTATTTAAAAAAAAGTGCAATTTTATGTCTGTTTTTGTAACTTAAAATATTGTCTGCACCAATTAATTACTATATTTGAGGTCACTTTTTTGAACTGTAAAGATTTGATTCCTGAAAATTCAGTTCATTAGAACCAAAGATATTTAGAGAACTATCTTTTTTTTTTAAAGCCATTATTTTTTGTGATGATATGTTGTTTAGATTTGAAAGCATTGTTGTAGAGGTGGAAGAAATTGTAAAATGAGAAGGAATGGTATTATTAAATGAAAAGTTTTTCAATCTTTCAATTCTTTGGAATCCTTTAATCCCATAGTCTTTTAAACTTTAGAAGGAACATCACTTTAAATTTTTCCTATATTAGTTTTATTACTTTTGCAGGCATGCACAAGCTAGAAATGTTTTCTAAAAGTATAAGTTGATACTTCTGGAAATAGGAACAGGGTGCATAGCATTTTTAAAAAGTGCTTAAAGGTGCATATTTTTGTTTTTTAAAAGCCCTTAAAGGTGCTTTTTTCATTGGGTGTTTTTAAAAAGTGCTTAAATTTCCTTTTTTTAAAAATGTGATTTTTCCTTTACCATGGTGATTTTTGCTACGAATTATGCAAAAAGCAGTTCAAATTGTTCTATTCAACATTTTCACAATTTATTCAACCCCAATCTATTTTGACGTATTGTCAGTTCGTAGCGTATGAAAACGCCATTCGTTTTCCATGATACAAAATTTAATGATTTTTGATAATTGTCAAAAACAATGCCATTTTTTTTGACATGACGGTTAAAACAAGATACAACCCTCAATTGTCAAAAACTTTCTAACCCTGCCTAATTATGATATTTTTTAAAGTGCTTAAAAATATTTTTTGAATACTTGAAGAATGCTTGAAAAATGCTTATTTTTTGTTGAATAATTTGGCTCCGTACCCTGAAGAAGATTTCATGTTATCCAAAAGATGGCTGCTGAAACAAACCCTTTAAATTGTGTTTTCTTAAAACAGCGTCTTTCTTATTTTGAAGACTCAATTTTCCCAACAATATTTATCTAATAAAGTGAAAAAAGTTTATACACTAGGTCTAAAGTCAGGAAGGAAAGCATTATGATACTGAAATTTAATAAATCATTACTGAGAGAGCGTGATATTGAAAACACCCAAAGATGTTTTAGTGCATGAAGAAACAAGAGAGGTGAAAGGCAATTAATATTCAAAAGTCTTCCAAGTTTCATCAGGCATTCAAACTGATTTTGAGTATTTTCATTCCACTTTCCTCAATAGTTATTTGACATAATTTTAGATTGTAATTTCTTCTTGCTTTAATGTCATTAAATCCAACTTTCCACGTGTATATCTCTTATGAGGATTCTAAAACTGACTATTAAAGGTCATTATGAAATGTATATTTTTATTTATAATTCACTCCATAAGTAATTTGGGAAAACAATTACTTAACTTAACAATAGTGTTTTTTTTTTAAGAGATTAAAAAGTGTTGTTTGTTTTATATTATAATATCATATTTAAATAGAATTGAGTGCTAAAAAGTCTTATGAATAAAAAAAAAACACATTCTTTTTTAGATAATGCTGTAAGATGGTTAGAAACTAAAAAATAAATAATTTTTAAATTAATATAAATTTTTTTAAAAATTAAATGGCATGAAATGTGATATGTTAAGAATCAAGATGTTAAATTTCAACATTATGATTTTAAAAATGCCTTTTTTCACTTGTATGTTAGCATTTGTTATTAAGTGTTAAAATTTTAAGAAATTCTTTGCATACTTTTTAAATAATGTTTGAAAATGTCAGTAAAACTACTTTTTGGAATTGAATTTTTAAGTTAAAAATTAAATGAAGGGAAGGATTCAGGGATTTGAACGGTGATATTAATGGAATAACTAAGAAGAGTTTTAAATCTTTTGTAAGATTTGAGGATTTACAAATTTAAATGTCCCATCTCTACTTTTTTCATTATATTTGTTTGTTTTAAGAAGCTCAGTTTAAAACAATGTCATTGTACAGATCATTATCGATGTTAGAAGGCAAAATATTTGCTGTTAATATTTATTTGTATGTTATTGAATTTTTGAACCTAATTTACTTTAATGAAGTCTCATGTTTATTTATTAATTTCATAAACAATACTAAATTGTACACAAATCAATATTTGTTAAAATTTCATATTATTCAGTAATAGATTTTTATTACATTAAAAATTTTTGGTTCATTTTCTAAATAAAAGTTGAGTATCATGTTGTGAGGACTTAGATTGAAACCTTTTTTTTTTTTAAATAAAAAATATTTGAACGCAGTATTAGATTGTCTTTGTCAAATTTAGAATGATAATAAGGAAAATTCTTATACACTGCAACAGTGTATTTTCAACTATCTTCTAAGACAGTGTTTCCCAAAGTGTGGTACGTGTACCCCCAGGGGTACGGGAACAGTTTAGCAGGGGTATGTGCTCTTATGCAAAATGTCTTGTAACAAAAGAAAATTTAAAATTTTTTTATTTAAAAACAAATCTATCCATGAAAATTTACGATTACGTATTTTTCTATTGACTACTTTTTGCAGAGTTAACAGTTAATAATAAGTGGTGTCAACAGCCAGTTGTGATTTTTAACTTTTGTACAATTTTTTTAATTGTAAAAAATACATTCATTTTTTTATTAGTGGTATACAGCATTACGAAAAATTTAGAAAGGGTACACAAAAGTCATAAGTTTGGCAAACTACTGTTCTGAGAAATGGTTGAATTCAGGTATTGAAAAGTTGAACTTTTTAACGTTGGTTTGTTTTCGATTTAAGTTAGGAATAGTTTAACTTTTTCCCCGAGGAATTAACTTTGGTACAACTTGTTTCGAATCGAGGAATTTTTTTCTTCATATATTTTAGTAATATCACCATACCTAAAATTATTTCCATGATGAAAAATGTTGTAATGCCCGGTGCAACAGTAGTTCGTGTATGGTGTAATATTTCCCCATACCCAGTTAACAAGTTAAAACGCGTTAATTTTTATAGTACTGATGGTTGTTTATAGTTATGTTTTTTTTTCTCCAAAATTATTCTATCTTTTATAAATGTGTTAATTTGTTTGTGGAAAAATATTTTTGTTATTATTAGGGCAAGAAGAAGCCTTACGTTAGTTTTACATCTTTAAAATATTTTAAAATATTTTTTGGTTAGTTGGTGAGTGAGATTGTACTTATGTGTTGGCTGAGAAAATTATTGGTGATAAAGTATTTTTGTAATACCTGTATAATGTGCCTCAACTGTAAGTTTAAATCATGTCTGTGTATCTGCTGAGGATATAAATATCTTTTTAGAACATTTTTTTATTTAAAAAAAATTAATTTGTATATCTTGTACTCAACCACTGTTATAACTTGCTCATTGCAATTTTTGGTGAATGTGCTTTTGTACTTTTGTCGTTCTGTGATAAAGTAATAAATGAGTTCCTTAATTAATATATGTTTTTATTTTGTGTCCAGAGCTAAATTAAAACGTGAACAGAATTTTAACATAAGATTAACTGTGTCACGATACCACCTTTATTCCTGTTACATATTTCCAATTTGAGTACTGACTTCTTTTTGTTCATGGACAATGGATTCTCAACCTTTTTTTTTTGGCGGCACACTTTTGACGATTTCGAAATTTGACGGCACACATTGAACAAAAATTAGTTTAAAAGTTGTTTACTTACCTATAATACACTGTGTTAAATAGTTTGTGATAATAATTTTGAATGTGAAATAAAATAATATGTACTGCAAAAGCATTTTTATTAAGGGATTAATTATTTCTTTCGACTAATTTTTTTATTAGTTAGTAACAGTTATTTTTTTTTGCTAGTTATTGATTGTTAGCTTGTTTTCTATAGCTATTAACTGTTATTTTTTGTGTGATTTCTTTAAACTAGTATTTTTGGTGATTATTAATTGTTAGCTTATTTTTCTGTTAGTTATCCTTTGTTAATTTGTTCTTATAACTATTAATTGCATAACTTACTTTAATGATTAGATTTTATTTCCGATTGAAAGTTAATATTTAGCTTGCTTTCCTTTGTTAATTAATAATTTTAATAGTCATTAAATTTCCTACTTATTTCAACATTTTTTAAAATTGTCAAAGACAATTTAAACACTTCCTTCTTAATTTAACTGATTTTAAGATTGTCAGAGACAAGACAATCGCCGACAAAGATGTTCACGCGGTTAAAGCGTGGAAAAATTATACAATATATATATATATATATATTTATATATACACACTTTTCTTTAAACTTAACTCGTAATAAAAAAAAGTATTATAATTTTTATTGCCTCATTTCTAATATTTGGCGGCACACAAAAGTGCCGCGGCACAGTGGTTGACAATCACTGATCTAGTCATTTAATACAAAAGTAACTGGAATTGTATTATTCAAAAATTATTATGTATTATGTGTGTTATAATATAAAAATTCAGACTAACTAATGGTGTTACACAAATGCATACATTTTTTTAAGAATAGTAGCAATTTCAAAGCAACTAATCTCAGAATGAAAATATGAAATTAACTACCATGATAAACAAGGATTTATAGGTTTTTAATACGATCTATAACTATTAATATACATTAAAAAAAAGCATAAATACTCTTAACACATTTGGCAATGAATTTCTAAAAGAATTTTTCTCCCTTTAATATTTATTTGCTTTTCTTTTCCTTAATCAAATAAAGTATTTGACGAAAGAGCTCGAGTTAGTTTTCGAGTTGATCAAACTATATCGCTACTTTTTCTAAATCTTTTTCTTTTTGTTCGTTCTTTTACAGATTGAAATTCCATTTAGAAAAATTCTTGAATTAATCTGAAAAATTCATGTAAATATTATCAACATAACAAATAAAGAAATGCACTTTTTACAGTTCTAGCATTCGTGTAACATCTTTACCTTAGTAAATTGTCACCACTGTGTGAAATATATTTTTAAGCATTAAAAAATGAATTCAAAATTATTAATTTTTTGCAAATTTATAATCCTATAACAACAATATCTAACAGTATTCATTTATCATTTATTTAAAACTTAGAAAAAAAATAATAAAAGCATAAAAAATCAGAAATTATAGCTAAAACATTATAAAATTATAACCGCCTTTATTATAACCGTGTATTTATCTTGATCTATTTATTTCATAAAAATTTATATTTTTCTAAAAAAATTTTTTTTTTGTTTAGAAAATATTAAATTATTATAATTTTATGTAAAAACATTTTGTTAATTGTGAGTAATTGAACGACTTAAATTTGTAAAAGAATTAACTGTACTTAAAAAATATATATATATATTTCTACTTAGCAATACTGATTGTGTGACACAATAAAAAATAATAAATGGGAAGTAATTTTACTTGTTAACGATAAATAACGACAACATTATATTATATACCAGCTCAAAATGGAAACTGCTTCTCTTTTGAGTCTTTAATATTTTTAAAAAATTTCGACGTAAATCTTAAGATTTATACCTAGCAATATCTAATATCGTTCTCTACTTTTTCTATTTCTTTTTTATATTACTTTTTACGCCCACATCAAGTCGAGTGCGAGCTTGTTAAATTATTAATATTAATAATGAATCATTAATAATATCATTAATAATTATAATTATTAATGTAATTATAATTATTAATTAATTATTATCTAAATTAGAGAGTAAAATAAATTTTTCTCCATGCGCAAATAATCGTTAAATAAAGCATAAAAAGTTAAAGTCGCATATGTGTACTGAAAATGACAATAACTTTGGAATAAGTTGGAATTTCGAAAAAAAAAAAAAAAAAAAAAAAAAAAAAAAAAAAAAAAAAAAAAANAAAAAAAAAAAAAAGCAATGACTCGTATTTAGTTCATAGATGAAACTGGCCCTTTCATTACGTCAAATTTCAACTCCGTAGTTGCATTCCTGCTGCCAAAAGAGGGACTCCTGTGGTATTTTTTTACTAAAAGTTTAACAGTTCTGCAATGGCTGGGATTGCCTGGTAGGCAAGGCACTGGACTCTCGTTCGTGTGCACGGGAGTTCGAATCCAGCCAGTCGAAGACTCCCCGTGTAGTAAATGATGACTGGTGCACGTAAAATATGTCGGGTCACAAAGTCCTCCATGTTCCCATTGCAAATTATATCTCTGGGGTACTGAATTAGAGATTGATCGTTCTCTGCTTCAGGACAAAATTACGATCTGTGGATAAATGAATTGGCGTATGAATGGGTCCGCCCTATAAACGGATGTGACGTATGGTAGTGGCAGAATTCGAATTCTTGGCCATAGATGGCGTCACTGAAAAACAAGAACAATTGCATCCCTTGCCTTAAATGACTCACGACAACAGCAGCAACAGTTCTACACTGATAGGTTTAATACTTCATAGTTAATTATCGAATGTTATATTTTTTTTATTTAAAGTTTGGAATCTTATTTTTAAACTTCCAAACACTATATGTATTTAGTAAAAAATAGTTTTTTATTTTTTCAAGTTTAAATAAAAGCAGATTTTCTTCAATTTTTTTTCCGTTTTAGTTGCAACTACAGCCTATAAACACGATGCTAAATCCCCTTTGATTTCAGAACAAGCTACAAGAACACAGCACTATTAGTCATTATCTCGTCAAATGGTCATTATAAAATAAAGTTATTTATTTCTAGATCAAATAAGCAACTAAAAAATAAAACTACTATTTGTTGATATAAGTGCGTCTAAGTCTATTCTTATCGAATTTTTTCCTTTTGAAATTTTTTTAAGCGTCTGTTATTCATATCTTAATAAAATAAAATTACAATTCCGGAATAATAAATCAAGGTTGCTAAAGAAAAAGAGAGAGCTCTACTTCTAATTATGATCATTATTTAGGCGTGAAATGGGTCTAATTGTTGTCTGTTTTAGAAAGACGTGACCGGTTTCGTTGTATTAAAAAATTAAATATATATTTAAAAATTAAAATTATATATATTTAAAAAAGAAAAAAATTGTTGAGGGAAAGCTGGAAATTAGGAATTTTGGTTTTTGTATCCAATATCTGAAGTTTAACCTCTCTTGGGAGGTGTGTATTGACCATCATCTCAAGTTTGAGGGGCTAAACAAAAGGATAAGAAACCTGAACATTACTAACTCGACAAGTGAGGTATTATTTTCTCTGAAGGAACTGAGATCAAAGAAAGTAGATAGGGTTAATAGTTTAAAAATTATATAGGCTCTAGTATTTATTTCATTTTATAACTGTCCTTAAACAGCCGACTCAATTTCGGGTTTACGACTACTAATGTTGAACTCCATAACCTCGTAATTTTGAGCCCAATCCAGAAGACAAGGGAACTGCTGAATCAAGTGTTGAGTGAAATTTGCCTTCATGGAGGACTTTTTGATGGAACTAACCCGCTTTTGCGTTACAGGGAGAGGAAAACCACAAAAAACTACTACGGTTAGCCTGACGGCAAGGGGACTCTAACTCATAATCCGGCTACCGCTGCGGTCGGTGCGAGCCGGGTACGGAATTCGGATCGATCAGCCGTTACTGGTATTCGAACCCCGTTCACCTCTTTGGAATGCGAACGCTCTATTCCCTGAGCCACCACGACTCATACAAAACTATTGTTCATAATAGTGCACGTAGGTCTGGAACACGCTAACAAGCAAGCATCTTTCATTAATATAAGGTCGGAAACGTAACATTACCCGCTGCATACCCATAAAGCCAGATACCTAAAGATGTGAGACAGGCCACAAATAATGATAATTTATTACGGAAATACGAGTTTACACAAATTTTTTTCATTTAAAAGAAAATTTTAAATCTGGAGTCAGAAATTTCAAATCCAGATGCAAAAGATTTTTTTGCAGCGATGATAAATCGAATGTCGGCAAGAATTAAATTTTGAATGAATGGATTTGTGAGCGTGTCCACTTTGTCCAATGTTTGATCTGAAGTTTTCTTGTATTCTGGATTGGGTTCAAAATTACAAGGCTACGGTGTTGAACATTAGAAGTCATAAACCCTTGAAGTTGGATCGGTTGTTGAACGAGGGTTATAAAATAAAATGAAATAAAATACTTAGAATCTAATAAGAAGAACCGAAGTTTAAGTACTCTCTCTTTTCTCTTAAATATCAAGACTTTCTGCGAGACCAATATATGGATTAAAGACAATATTTAAGTAAAATTACACTGGTCACAAAGTTTGCAGTCGACTACATGGCGAATTATTTTCCTTCGATGATGAAATCAAGATCGCGTGCGACACGAAAAGATGTTTTAATGCGACTGATGTGACTTCACCTTGAGAAGTAAACTGTTTTCTTTTTTCAGATACTCACTCGGCGACTTTTACCTTCGTTTAGAGGCCCTAAAGTCAGTTTACTTAATCAACTTTCATTCCATGTGCTATGAGTTTGACTTCTTAAAGTGATTTTATGGGCAGGTCATGAGATAGGTTTTGAATAACAAAATAATCTGGATGATGAAATAACGAAATCTGCATTGTTAATTTTCTAGAATCTGTTGCCCTTCGATATTTTAAGGTAAGTTTGTTTTAATTTTTAAAGTTAAAATCGCTCTCGTGATGTAAGAAGTAGTAATGGTAAGAATATGTGATAAGAAGGGTTGAATTCCTCGTACAGTTGCCAACAATTTTTTAAAAAATAACTTCCTTTATTTTTCGAACTGTTTGAGATTAAAGTAGTGAGTTATTTGGATTTAATAACTTTTATACTAGTTTTCATTACATAGAAATGCGCGAATCATTGAGTAATTTCACTGTTACGGGGACATAACTTTGACAATAATTAACTTAAAGAGCAAAGATCTAATTTTAGAATTAGATGAATTTTCTTACTTCACTTCGTAAAAAGCAGACTGTTTGGCCATTACGGTCCTTGCTATATATTTTCGAAATTATTGTAAAAAATATGCACATTCGGAATTGGAAACAAATATTCAAGCGAAAGAAAAAATCAATGTTGGAAAAATTATTATCGAGGTTGATCATGGTGATGGCGGTATTAAAATAATAACCTAGTTCATGTGCAGTTTAAATTGATAGGCGTTGAAAAGAAAAGAAAAAGAGCGATTAACACGTTACCACAAACAACGACTTTAGCCGCCCGATTTTCGGCGATACATGGGCAGATCTCTAAAACCTTTAACTTTTGATAATAAAAGAAAATAATTAAAAATAATTGGCACACTATTTTTACACCTCCAGAATTGTTTGAAAATGTATAAAATATCAGAAAATAATAATGAACATCGAAAATTTTGATGCCCTTGATGATAACAAAAAATTAAAATTTTTGAACTAATTTTTACAGGTTTATAATCACAAACTGTCATTCGGTGAGGTTACAGTTACGATGTCAAGACCGTAATCAGACGCAGATCTAAAAAGTAAATGTTAAAATCAATCAAAATTTTGATCACACGTTTGTCATTGCCCAATTTATTTTCTGTGTTGTGTGCATCGCATTGCGTTGCATCTGAGTAAAGTTTTCGATCTATTCCCTAGGTTGTCCAGACCGTAACCCTGTCAAACCGTAACCTCAGGATTAATTAATTGAATTTAACATATCAGAACTTAGTTTTTTCCCTATGTTTTACTAATTGAAGATATTTTTTGACTGAAAATAATTAAAGTAAGCCTTTTTATACATTTTATAACAATTTAACTTAATATTAAAATTTTTCAATTCATTTATGATACTAATAATTTTTGATGAAAAATAAAGGGTAAATATGGATGAAATTATTAAAAAGAAAAAATTGCTCAATAAAAGAAAAATAGGTTCAATAAGTTTATATGTTTATTAAATAAATGATACTTTTGTCGTTTTTATGATTTTTAATGAAATGTATATAAACCTAGAAAAATTAGTTCAAAAATTTTAATTTTTTGTTTATACTTATAAGGACATCAAAATTTTCGATGTTCACGATTATTTTTTGATATTTTATGCATTCTCAAACAATTCTGGAGGTACAAAAAATAATGTGCCTATTATTTTTTATTGTTTTTTTTTTATTATCAAAAGTTAAAGGTTTTAGAGATCTGCCCATATAAGCAAATTACGGCATTAACCGTCATGCACATTTTAATTAATAATAAAAGAAACATGAATAATACGAGCCATAATAATGCATTTGTTTGTTAATTATTCAGTAATTCATCGCAAAAAAGAAAAAAAGAGATGTAACGTTTCAGGTAACATATCAATTGTTTTCTTGTACTATTTCTCGTGCCTTAACAATTCGGAATATTTTCGCATTCAGAGATAAATGTTGGCTAACAGTTAAATGTACCAAACGTTTCGTGTATTGTAGTTCGCTCAATTGAGAAGACCTAAATAATTGAAAATATTGTGTTTCTGAGCATGATTTTCAAATTACAAGTGGGCAACTAGTTTTTCAGTTTAATTCCCAAATAAATTCGTTTAGATGTATTTTTAAAAAATTCTATTTTCACTCTAATTGTTCTCGATAGCGATTGATTTGTTCAATTTTTAGAAACTTCTGTGTTTTTTCCAACTAAAATACTAATGTATGGATCCCTAATAGGTACATTTCGTTCCTTTTATTCTTGATAATGATATTATAGATTAAGGGCGGAGTTTTTTGAAAGACTCTGCAGATAGATGTTCAATTGGAAAACCTTTCGTCAACATATTTGCTGAGTGTTGTAATTTTTAATGGAAGTAACTTTAACTGTCGTGACAACGAATTAATTATCAACATAATTCGGTATTAATAATTGAAATTAATTTATAAATTTAAAGAAAAAGAAATTTTTGTTGTTGAAAAGTTGAAGAAAATTACTACATTTAGTTTCTGACGTAATATGCATATCAAGACTTAGGCAGCCTCCTTTGTTTTAAATCACTTCTTTTTAGATTTTTATGCTTACAGAAATAATTGCACTCTATTTTTTCCAACGAGACATAAATTTCGGATCATCAATAATTTAAATTATAGTACATAGAACATTTTTTACGTTAATAACTTTATTTACGTTTGAAATGTTATTGTAATTTAAGAATATTGAACACAAGTAATTGTTTATTTCTTTAAAAAAGAGCGTTTAGGATGATTAGTAGTATTTTAAGTAACTACATTTTTAACTTTTTTATCAACCTTACAGAAGATTTTTCTTAATCGACGAATAAGATTACGATAAAAGCAAATTTAATTAAAAACAAATATCTATAGTTTAGGCGTAAATTCAGGGAATTAATTTTAAGAGTTGACACGGTGAAAGTGTCAGGGAATAAAAATTAGTTTTTTTGGCAGATCAGGTAAGAAGGAATAATTTAATTATTCGAAGGATTAGTCTTTAATTAACAACAATAGATGCGTTTCATTGTTATAATAAATATTTTACGTTTGCTTCATGAGTAAACGGAGGCAGGATTATTTTTCTTTTATTTGTATATAAGATAATATACGGTTAGATAAAATATTTAAAGGTATTCATTATGATAAAATTCTCTTTTATTATTAAAAATACATGTAACAAGTACCTGTTCGTCTATGTGACTTTTAGTACTATAGATAAAAGGAACTTTATTAATCTATCATTTAAGTTTTTAAAATTTTTTTTTTAAATTTCATGTATCATCACTGAAAAATATTAAGAAGGAATAACATCGAGTTTAGCAGCTAACTGTTCTCTAAATTATATCCATCTTCAAAATTTTTATATCTGAAAAGAAATACATCTCAGCAATTATGAACAAAATTTATATGAAAACTTCGGAAGGAAAAATTAGGTGAAGTGCACTAAAATAATTAATTGGGTTATTGCCTTCAAATGATTTCTTAACTTTTATTTATTTTTAGATATAAGCATGAATTTTAGTAGAGGAATATTTCCACACAACTTTTATATGGCGATGACAAGGCTAATTCAGAAAGCAGTTTAGGATGCTGAACATTTTGACAATCGTCATAATTTTAAGTTTTTTTAATCCTACTGAAGTTTCCCTTTATGAACGGATAAAAAGGCAAGGTGACGTTACAGTTACGATGTCAAGACCGTAATCAGACGCAGATCTGAAAAGTAAATGTTAGAATCAATCAAAATTTTGATCACACGTTTGTCATTGCCTAATTTATTTTCTGTGTTGTGTGCATCACATTGCGTTGCATCTGAGTAAAATTTTCGATCAGGTTCCCTAGGTTGTTCAGACCGTAACCCTGTCAAAACCGTAACCTCAGAATTAATTCATTGAATTTGACATATCAGAACTTAGTTTTTTCCCTATGTTTTACTAATTGAAGATATTTTTTGACTGAAAATAATTAAAGTAAGCCTTTTTATACATTTTATAACAATTTAACTTAATATTAAAATTTTTCAGTTCATTTATGATACTAATAATTTTTGATGAAAAATAAAGGGTAAATATGGATGAAGTTATTAAAAAGAAAAAATTTATCAATAAAAGAAAAATAGGTTCAATAAGTTTACATGTTTATTAAATAAATGATACTTTTGTCGTTTTTATGATTTTTAATGAAATGTATATAAACCTAGAAAAATTAGTTCAAAAATTTTAATTTTTTGTTTATACTTATAAGGGCATCAAAATTTTCGATGCTCACGGTTATTTTCTGATATTTTATGCGTTTTCAAACAATTCTGGAGGTGTAAAAATAGTGTGCCTATTATTTTTTATTGTTTTATTTATTATCAAAAGTTAAAGGTTTTAGAGATCTGCCCATATAAGCAAATTACGCCATTAACCGTCATGCACATTTTAATTAATAATAAAAGGAACATGAATAATACGAGCCATAATAATGCATTTATTTGTTAATTATTCAGTAATATATCGCAAGAAAGATAAAAGAGGTAACGTTCCAGGTAACATATCAATTGTTTTCTTGTACTACGAGTATTTCTCCTGCTTTAACAATTCGGAATATTTTCGCATTCAGAGATAAATGTTGGCTATAAATGTACCAAACGTTTCGTGTATTTTAGTTCGCTCTATTGAGAAGACATAAACAATTGAAAATATTGTGTTTCTGAGCATGATTATCAAATTACAAGTGGGCAACTAAGCTTTTCAGTTTAATTCCTACATAAACTCGTTTAGATGTATTTTTTAAAAATTCTATTTTCACTCTAATTGTTCTCGGTAACCATTGATTTGTTCAATTTTTATAAACTTTTGTGTTTTTTCCAACTAAAATACTAATTTATGGATTCCTATTAGGTATATTTTGTTCCTTTTATTTTTGATAATGATATTATAGATTAGAGGCAGAGTTTTTTGAAAGACTGCAGATAATTGACTTGTTTCGTCAACATATTTGCTGAGTGTTGTAATTTTCAATGGAAGTAACTTTAAATGTCGTGGCAACGAATTAATTATCAACTTAATTTGGCATTAGTAATTGAAATTAATTTATAAATTTAAAGAAATTTTGTTGCTGTTGAAAAGTTGAAGAAAATTACTACATTTAGTTTGTGACGTAATATGCATATCAAGACTTAGGCAGCCTCCTTTGTTTTAAATGACTTCTTTTTAGATTTTTATGCTTACAGAAATAATTACACTTTATTTTTTCCTACGAGACATAAATTTCGGATCATCAGTAATTTAAATTATAGTACATAGAACATTTTTTACGTTAATAACTTTGTTTACGTTTGAAATGTTATTGTTAATTTAAGAATATTGAACACAAGTAATTGTTTATTTCTTTAAAAAAGAGCGTTTTGGATGATTAGTAGTATTTTGAGTAACTACATTTTTAACTTTTTGTCAACCTCGCAGAAGATTTTTCTTAATCAACGAATAAGATTACGATAAAGACAAACGTAATTAAAAACAAATATCCATAGTTTAAGCGTACATTCAGGGAATTAATTTTAGGAGTTGACAGTGTAAAAGTGCTACGTCAGGGAATAAAAATTAGTTTTTTGGCAGATCAGGTAAGAAGGAATAATTTAATCATTAGAAGGATTAGTCTTTAATTGACAACAATAGATGCGTTTCATTGTTATAATAAATATTTTAAGTTTGCTTCATGAGTAAAATGAGGCAAGATAATTTTTCTTTTATTTGTATATAAGATAATATTCGGTTAGATAAAATATTTAAAGGTATTCGTTATGCTAAAATACTCGTTATGCTAAAATTATTCGTTATGCTAAAATTATTGTAATTATTCGTTATGCTAAAATTATTATAATTATATGCAACAAGTACCTGTTCGTCTATGTGATTTTCAATACTATAGATAAAGAAACTTTTTTTAACTCTTTTTTTTCCAAATTTTTTTAAAAAATTTCATGTATCATCACTGAAAAGTATTAAGAAGGAATAAGATCGAGTTTAGCAGCTAACTGTTCTAGAAATTATATCCATCTTCAAAATTTTTATATTTGAAAAGAAATACATCTCAGAAATTATGAACAAAATTTACATGAAAACTTGATTTTTTCAGATGGAAAAATTCGGTGAAGTGCACTTAAATAATTAACTGGGTTATTGCCTTCAAATAATTTTTTAATTTTCATTTATTTTTAGATATAAGCATGAATTTTAGTAGAGGAATATTCCAGCACAACTTTTTTATGGCGATGACAAGGCGAATTCAGAAAGCAGTTTAGGATGCTGAACATTTTGGCAATCGTCACAATTTTAAGTTTTTTTAATCCCACTGAAGTTTCCCTTTATGAACGGATAAAAAGGCAAGGTGAGTATCAAAAATGTAGACCAGTTTTAAAATTTTGTTTTAAATTGAATAATTCTTACATTTAGTCATATGATGAAGAATATTGGGTAAGCTGAAATATCTGTGGGTATTCTATACTTATAAAGACTATATATNGAAAATTAGATCAAAAGTTATGCGTTATGCAAGTGCTTCTATTTTTTTAACGTTTTTAACGTTTCTATTTTATTCTCAACCCTTATTTTAATGGCATCGTTAAACAAATGATAATTAAAAGATGGTACTTGATAATATATATATATATTATCAAGTACCATCTTTTAATTATCATTTGTTTAACGATGCCATTAAAATAAGGGTTGAGAATAAAATAGAAACGTTAAAAACGTTAAAAAAATAGAAGCACTTGCATAACGCATAACTTTTGATCTAATTTTCATGTATTAAAATCCAATTCTTATAGATTTCTATATAAATTTTAAATGTAAACACAGTTTTTATTTTTGTAAAAACAAAAATTTTCCTATCTTTTGAAGTTTTGCCATTCATTTTCTTTATAATACTGTTATAATTTAAATTATTGTCTGTTTATAATTTAAAAGAAAAACAACACACTTCAAATTATTTAATATGCTATTACTTCTGTTTTTTTCCTTCTTTTTAATGGCGGGCACTTGGGATGCATTGTTCCATTGGTCAGGAGTGCCAGAACTGCTACTCTCTTCTCGTTACACAGTGGGCACCCATGGCGAAGCCATGGCGGTGGAGCAGCGTCGCCCACGTCACACAACCACAAACCCGTTTATAGGGCGGGTCACATTCACACAATCACACAAAGGAGAAAGGACATAGAACACAGAGAGAAAGAAACATCCATGCCCTGAGCGGGATTTGAACCCGCAACTATCGGCTCCGCAGTCAGGCATGCTATTCACTCGGCCACCTGGTCGGCGTTTTTCCAATGCCCACCTGTGTTAACATCCGTCAATTCAGGCATATACAGGGAGATTTTGTTGACCTCTCTCACAGGGGCACCATATTAGGTGGGCCAACGTCGCTCCCACAGTACGCTCCCACAGTAAGGACAGATAGTAAAGAGAAGGAAAGAACATCCATGCCTTGTCCGGGATTCGAACCCAGAACCTTTCTGATGCGAGGACAGTTCCCTGTCCCCTACACAGGCCGGTCGGCTTACTTCTATTTAATCCAATACAAACACTAATTTGATTTTTTTTAGTATTACGTTCTTATCAACTCACTTTCATGAAGGATTGAAATAAAATTCCGACTTTAAAAGCAGCCGAAATTCTCACATTTCAAACATTAAAATTTTTCGTCGTTTTATTGCCAAATTAAATATTTAATCAAAATTTTGGTCACTTTAAGACTAGCTAGAACACTGAAATTTCATCTGAAGCCCCGTGCCGGACAACAGTATTAGCTCTCATCGTTTTGTCATTGTTACAAGCAAAATTTATGGTGATGTTTTTGGACAAAAAGGATTTATCGTCAATCAAACTTCCGATCACTTAAAAGAAAAGTTAGAGCACTGAAATTTTAACAGAAGCCTTAAGTTGTATGACATTACCCCCAAGTTTCAATTCTCTTCTGATCTCTAAAAACAGAATTCATCGTTATGTTTATACCAATTAAAATGTATAGTCAATCGAAATTGTGATCACTTAAATAGTTAGATCACAGAAATTTTAACTGAAGCATTATGTTGTATAACATCACCCCCAAGTTTCAATTCTCTTCTGATCTCTAGAAACAGAATTCATCGTTATATTTATACCAATTGAAATCTATAGTCAATCGAAATAATGACCACTTTCCGATTAGGTAAAAGGCTGAAATAGTAACTGCATCCCTATGCTGGATGCTTAATACAGATTTCAATAGTTTTCTGACCACTGAAAGATTCTGAGTATAAGTTTTACCATACATTCTTTTAAATTATTAGCCATTTTCAGTAATTTAAAATTCGACATACTTCATATTATTTAATACGAAAAATGATCCGATATCAGTAATTGCAAGAAAAATGTGAATAATGAAGAATAATGACGGTGTGTCAACTTACATAACGGATTTTTGATTATCTCCATAAAGAGGAATTTATGACGTGCTTATTTTATAAAAAAATCATTCAGATTGGAATTTAAATGGTCATTTTATTGGCATCATTCCAAGAAACTGATTGGGTTAAATAGCTCATCTATGAATCTTTGGTTAAAGCTTAACTATGGATCTTTATTCATATGTTTTTTACACTCGAGTTTGTGTGTGAGTTATTGCCTTGAATAAAATAGTGAAATGAAATGTTATAAACTACTATTATAAATTGGCAGCTTTTATGCATGAAACTATATAATTTCTGCAGACGATACCTTTTTTTAAGAACTTTTAATCTGCCTTTTGTCTTTAGGTCAGCTACATTTCTTCCTAAGAAGTTACAGCTTATAAAAACTTCAGTTATTTTTTTAAAAATAATTAAATATGTATTGTTTATGAAATTATTTTTAGTAATGGTGCTTATTTAGGGTAATTTTTTTGCTATTGAAAATTTCAGCTTTCGATGAGGAAACGCCGGTTGTGTTTCCAGCAATGGAAGAAATACCGGAAGTAAAGTGCATAGCATATGACGGAGGAAAAGGTTTTTGTAGACCAGCTGGCCTGTGCGTATTTCGGTTTGAATCAGCACAAGACCTCGAAGAGTCTGCATGCACCATAAATAAGAATCAAGTTGGAACATGCTGCCCCGGGAAACCTCCACCATCACGAGCTTCAGGTTGGTTTATTCAGAGAACGGGAAATTTTGAAGCAGCATAATTTCTACAAATAAACAAAGGAAAAACAATTTTTATGTTTGTGTTTCATGTATAGAACATACTTTTGGTGTTTTCATGATAAAATGTCATAAACTGTGTCCTTACATCATGAAGATTGCACTTTACACTCTAAGTTTGTGAGTTTTTATTATGAAAATGTAAGTAGTATTCAACCAAATTGGCGAGTGGCGGGAAATTTTAACAGAAGAATTCTCTTTTTCATAGGCGGGGAAACTTTGCGGCGCATTTCTTTCGGCGAGAATTCCAAACTGGCATAGCATTCCGGATCTTTGGTTCATTTCGATAGAAAGCTTTTTGAATTAGTTAGATTTTTATTCATTTTTTTCCTACAATAAACTAAATAAGGATTTTATATTTACTTTTCCCCGATTCTCCGTTTCTATTTCGCTCCGACTGATGCAACTTTTCCCTCAAAATCGCTGGAATTAACTCTACCGGTGCTCTCAACTCTGACTTTGCACACGTTAACTAGTGATGGAAACTTATATAAATTCACTTTCGTCAATAAAAATGTTTTTCTTATGTTTATTTGTGGAAGAATTCTCCTATTCTCCGCTCTACCCCAAATGTTCTAGAAGTTAAATTCAAATGTCCCAGAATGTTTTAGAAGTTAAATTCAAATGTCCCAGAATGTTCTAGAAGTTAAATTCGAATATGACATAAATTCGTTCAATTTTGTACTTCACCAGACTGAAAGGATTTTGTCCAAAACTGAAAGATTTAATTCAAATAACCTTTATATCAACTAAAATGCTTAAAACTTTAGAACTAGAATACAATTTAATATTTAAATCTCATCAGAATCCAACGTATTGCAATGAACTTATATAAGATATACAATGGGCAATGGACTTTTGGAGATATGATGGAGATACAGTGAACTTATTGGAAGTTATTTATAAGAGATGATGCGTGACTGGTGAAAACGTTTTATTTTTGTTTTTTGAAAAGCACGTCTTACGAGCTAGTTCAATGAGGATTAACAGGGTGGCCACAACCGGGAAATATTGAAAACGTGTTAGAGAAGGATCGAAGGAAAAAATAGTTTTTACTAATTCTTATCTTGTAAAATGTTACTGTAGATTAAAGGAAATGTATCTGGATATCTACTTAATTTACAAATTGCTTTTATTAATTCTTATCTTGTAAAATGTAACAATAGATTAAAAGAAATGTATCTAGATATCTACTTAATTTACAAATTGTTTTTACTAATTCTTATCTTGTAAAATGTAACAGTAGTTTGAAGGAAATGTATCTAGATATCTACTTAATTTACCAATTGTTTTTACTAATTCTTACCTTGTAAAATGTAATCCTAGATTAAAGGAAATGTATCTAGATATCTACTTAATTTGCAAATTGTTTTTAATAATTCTCATCTAGTAAAATGTGACTATAGATTAAAGGAAATGTAACTAGATATCTACTAAATTTCTAGTGATATTAAAACTTTTAAAATTTCCAAAAGCTTTATACAACATTTGTCAACAGTTTTTGAATTTTTCCCGGCTATGCGAACCTTATATCTATGCTTGATTAGAATATAAAATGTATTTAAAGATTGGAATAATTGAGCTAATTATAAAACATTTCAGAGAAAATAGTATAAGGATTCACAGATAAGGCAGCCAAGAACAGAAATGGCAAACCTATGGCAAACGTGCCACTTAGCTGGTACGAAAATTATATATTAAATTCACTAACATTCTTAGAAAACATTAAAAAGATACATCTTTAATATTAGCAACCATTATAGACGGATTTTTTATTTTATTATCGTCGTTGAACAGCCGACCCAATTTTGAGCTTACCGCTGCCAATGTCAAACTCCGTAGTCTTGTAGTTTTGAACCTAATCCAGAATACAAGGGATCTTTTGGATCAATTTTTGGGGGAGATATGTCTTCGTGGAGGAGATGGAACTATCCCTTATTTGTGTTACATGGAGAGGAAAACGGTTAGCCCACGGTTAGCCTGACTTCAAGGGGACTCTAGTCTATGATCCGTCGAACACTGAGGATATTTTACGTCAGCACTGTGGTCGGTGCGGCCGGGTGCGGAATTCGTATCGACCAGTCATAGCTGGGATTCGAACCCGTTCACCTTATTGGGAGGTGAAAGCTGTATCCCCTGAGTCACCACGGTTCATCATAGACGGATTCTGAAAAATGTGCAATTTTGGGTGCTGTTATGATTTAGCACTAATTACCAAGATTTCATTTTATAGCTCACCGAAGTTGTCCGCTTTAGAATATTTCTATTCATTCTATTTCTATTTGAAGCAACATGAACTGCAAATATAATCATGCGATTTTATAGTTTAAAATCAATGTACAACGGCTTAAAGATTATTTCAGGAAAAAAATAACAAATGGTACTCTAGATACTCAGAAATTATAAAAATTAAACTGGTGCACTTATCGAAGAAGTTTCGCTATTTCATTGATAGAATACGTTTTAAGCACACTTTTTGCATTTGGATATTTGGTGAAGTTAGAACTGCAAAAACTTTGAAGCATATGAAAACAACAGAAATAACGAAAGTACTCAAGAAATTTTTTTATGCCGATTATCGTTAAAAGTGTTAGGTGTCAATGAATATTTAATGTTAAATTATTACAACGTAATTCTCACTTTAATTTTCCCTCCAAACAATTTCAACATCTGTTGGAGAATTCATCTATTATTGAACTTAGGCAATTTTTCTACGCTTTTATGTTCACTAGTACAGCTTATTTTTTCTCCAGCTTTTCTAAGTAAGCATGGATATGCAATTGCAACGTCCGACTCATATTGAAAATATTTCCATGGAAATTTCTAATTATGATTGTCTTACAGGTCCTCTGCGTCCTGAAATACCAGCAAATATGCCAGATATAAGTTCCTCTGATTTGGACTTTGCTGGACAAGAGGGTCGATCTATTGTTCAGAGAATTGATCAACTGGAAATCGAACTTCAAAGAAGAGGTAATATTTTTGAATTTTACAAAATTAAATAAACGGAATACAGACGAGTATCTTGAGACAAGAATTTAAGTTTTTTACTTTTAGGCAATTCGATAATTTATGAATGTCACATTTGCATACTTTAAATGCATATAACTTAATTTGACAAAATCAAGCTGTTCGAATAATTTTTGTCAAGATAACTGTTTGGATCATTTATACTTAAATTTTTATTAATTTTTACAAATTTAAATATTTTTTTAAAAATTAAAGCTGGTTGTTTCGAACTTAAACATAATATTTTATGTCTGAAACATCCAGCTTTTATATTCAAAAAATTGTTTAGAATTATTAAAATGACTGTAAATTGGAACAAGTGTAATAACACATAAAGAAATTTTACAAAAAAGAAAAGAAAGAAAAACATTTTGATTTTCTTTAATTGAGTTAGATACTTCTAAAGTCTTAATATCCTGTGCTTAACGCATTTATTTACTTCATATTTGTTCTTGCACTAAACATATATTCATTCATATACTCAATATATTACTATATTCATAAACAAAGCATTTCTATTCGTTTAATTTAGTAACTAAATTTCTTATGAGCTGCACAATCAGTCTTCCCGATGAGCAGACCTAGTGCGTTCTCCAGAAGTGCTATCCACTCTTTCAGGACCACCACAATGGGTGAGATACCGTTGGCCATGTTAACTTGAACGTCTAGTTTCTGCCACACTAGATGGCAGCACAGAGACTCAAGGAGACAATTTAGTAACTATACAAGTAGGAAAAGAATGCTGGAATATTAAACATAAAATAAAAATGTGTGCCCGAATAAATTGGTCTGAATCAGTTTTAAACAAGCTTTCATATCATTTAAGTAAAATTCTTTCCAGAGTTTAAATTTAATGTTTAAATGTAAGTTAAGCCTTAAACAGAGTTAAGATTTAAAAGTGAATTCTAAGAAAAATCATAAGTAAGATTCCTTTAGCATCGTAATCATATATACGTAAATAATATAAACAAAATAAAACGTGCATATGCAGTGTCTGAAATAAACAATAAAAAAATAAACAAAAAATTCAGAATTTTGACAAGCGGATAACTGATATCACTCTAAAACATAAAAACGTTTTTTAGATGAAAATACGTGCTTCTTGTATATTTTCAGCTGAAACTAACGCATCTGCAATTATTTTTTTCTTACTAAGCACTATTTTTTCGAAAAGTCATATTTTAGTTTGGTGACTTATGTAGTCATAGTCATAGAACATAATAATGTAGTCATAGAACATAATAACAAATTACAGGCTAAGAAACAGCATTCTCATTGATAGTGAAATTGTCGCCAAGTTGGTGACAATTTGGGGGATCTTGGCAACTTTTATAGTTGCAAAAACTTTATCTACCTTCTCGAGATTTCGAGGCTCTCGAAGGATTATTATATCTGAGAATTTAATAAAAGCATGTCATGTTTTCTCCAAACGGTACGTGATGGGCGATTTTGGTTTCGGTGTGTCATGCACCCTTTTGTATATTCAAAATCTTAAAGTTTAAAAAAAAAAAACGATTTATGTTTCAGTTTTTAAAAACTGGATTCGGATGTTAAGATTTGTATCATACTGTTGTCACATAAAAATTAAAAGAAAATATTTCTCAAGAAAAAAATATTTAACTGACATAAATTGAAATATAATCTAAACTAAAACGAATGTTAAAACGGTATAAAAGACATTCATAGCTTTTTTTCAAATTGAACACAATTGCATTATGTTTATAGGGACTCCCAATAAACTTGATTTAGAATACCAAGAAAAAAGAAAAACCTTAATAGCAAATAGAAATTCTACCGTTGTTGCAAAGTTTTTATTTAATTTTTATGCACATATTAAGTACACTAAAAAATTGCTGGCATTTAATATTGATTAAGGAAAACTATTTTAAAGATAGTGCCTACTAATGTTAAACTATTCATGTTTTCTGAAAGAAAAGAATAATCTGTACATGTTTAAATTAGATCTTGAATTTTGAAGCATCATGTTATATTATTTCCAACATACATCTAAAATGTTATATTATTTCCAATATACATCTAAAATGCTTTGGTGGAGTCTTTTTTTTATTTTTTACAAAACGGAAGATTAAAAGTGACTCCCGGTGGCTGAGTGGTAGCGCTTCGCCCTCCCGTGCACACAGGTTCTGGGTTCGATCCTCGGGCCGAGCAAGGTTGACTCAGCCTTTCATCCCTTCATTGGGTCGATAAATGAGTACCAAATATGCTTGGGAACTAAACACTGCGGGTTCCGCGTTCGGCTGACCATCTGACCGGAACATCTGCTCCTGCACCCCATAGCCCAAGGTCAAGAAAACTGAGATGGGCACAGTAGGCCTTGGCCCTTTGGGCTGTCGTGCCACTGAGTGTGTGAGTGTAAAGATTAAAAGTGAACATTTCAAACATCTTTAATTTATAAGATCGTTTTCTGAGAAAATTTTTATTTCACTTAAATCACCGTATTTACTTAAAATATCGTGTATAAATTATTTTCAGCTTATTCCATCAAAACCAATAGACTGTAAATGTTTAAAAAAATTGAAAGCTTATCCTGCAATGTTTCTCTCAGAAATATGAATGCAGAGTTCGCAAAAATAGCCTTAACAACTCATAAACGTGAATTAAATATCTGCAAATAGAGTTCCGAGTATGGTTAAGAAACCGTTATCTATCCTTTCTACATAAGTTCCTTATAAATTTAACTCATGATTTCGAACCAATATTATATAATTTAGGTGATTTCTCGTTTCTGTAACCATGGTTTTACTCTATACATTTCTAATTAGCGGAATATTCTGTCACGGTAATTCGTTGAAACGGGATTAGACAGACTGGAGGTAATTCTCTCCCCAAAGTATTTAGAAGGTAAACTTTCCACTAAGTCGTTCAATACAGATTAAATAACAGAAACGGAAAAGTTTCAAAATATCCTTAGATTCGGGGTACGTATTTAATATAACGAGTGGTCTTTGCTAAATGACTTTTCATGAGAGACTGTTGGTTTAATGAAAACTTACTCTTCTTTTGTTTTACTTTGGTAGGCGTAAATGTAAATAATCCCAGTTAAAAAGTGGCTTGTATTCATACAATATGTTGTAATTAAATTTTTGCTTTAGTTAGTTTTGCTGTGGTAAAAACATAGATATTAGGTTGCTGGACAAGTTTACTTCGGAATTTCTTGGACCTCTCAGCAAGATTCAACCATAGATTATAAAACGTCTAACTAACGACTATCGACCACTGCCAGTCAGAATTTGATATGTTATCGTGATATTTTTTAATCTTCAAAATCTTCCAAACGTTAAATTTTATTACTTATCTATATTTAAATAAAAATTTAAGAGTAATTTCTGTTAAGTTATATTATTTTGCTTGGCATACATAAAGAAAATATAAAAAGAAGTGTGTTTTAAATTCCATGATCGAATGATTAGTTACAAAATAACATTGGTTTAAGTTCAGATGTCTGGGGTCAAAGAAAATTCATTTAATTAGGGACAGCATCTCTTGTTTTCTATCGCTTTTCAACTCCAAAACTGCTGGATCACTTCTTTTCACATCACTTCGTTTGCTTATCACATAAAAATAGTTTACACCTTTCTACAAAACTAAAACTTAATTCCTTTTAAAAATAAATATGCTATAAGAAATAGACAAGGAAAAGTGTTTAAATTAGTTGATTTGGATAGATTTATAAATATTGTTTAATAACTTATGCAAGTAGTTTGAAGACATAAATTTCATCCAAAATTGAAATTATGTTAAAAAAATGCATGTTAGTTACACGTAATTTAAGTTTAACTTGTGTAACATGTAAATTACATTGAATTTGCAAATTGACTATTATTTTATGTTCTAAGACATCTCCTTCTCATAAAAATGGGTTTAAATGGTCAAATGCATATTTTGTAGGATAATGAGTCATGATACAAAAAATTACATAAATACCTCACTTTCAAATAAATCAACTATGCAACTAAATAATGAGAATGCATTTATTGATTAAAATTATAATGTAATCTGAGCTTTAAACAAAATAATAATTTGATATTTTTTATTTAATTTTTTTTTAAAAATTAATTTTGTATAGAAATTAAACTTGCTTTGAACTTATTTAGGCTGCAGAGATTTGGATGGTTTAATTTAAAAAAAAATCTTTTAGAGTGTTCCAAAAAGTACTGGAAGAAATTTTTCTCACAACGTAAGAGCATATTATTCACGTAGAGTTTAAAAAGTGCTCTTCAAATCCCATTGTGATTTACAGGAAATACTGCAAAAAAGTTTGGTCTCGACCTAATTGCATATTATTCATGTAGAGATCAGTGTAGTTAAAAAAGTTAAAAAGTAAAAGTAAAGTAAACATTCTACAGTGATAGAGATAACTAGAATACATTATAATACTTATAATACATTGTTCAATAAAGTTTTCAAGCCTTAGTGAGCTACAGGAAGTAGTGGGAGAAACTTATATCTTATATATTATTCCATAGTGAATAATAGAGAGAACTAGAAGAAATTTTGATCTCAATCTAATAACAGGAAGAGATCAGCATGGTTTATAAAATTGTCTTTAAATCCAGCAGTGAGTTACAGGGAGTACTGGATGAAATTTCGGTTTCAACCAAATTACATGTTACTCATCTAGTGATCTGTATAGCTAAAAAAGTTCTCTTTAAGTTTAATAGTGCAGGAAGTACTGGAGGAATCTCCACTCTCAACTTTAGAACATATTATTCATGTAAGCAGTTGTAATACATTATTCAAAATGTTTTCAAGCCTTAGTGAGCTACAGTAAGTACATGGGGAAACTTTAGTCTCAACCTAATAACATATTCAGGAAGAGATCAGTGTACAAACTAAGGTAGACAACGTTAAAGAGCACAAAAATATTATTAAAAGCAGACAGCTGTTTCGGATGCTCAAAGGGCAACCTTCATCAATGCATCAGAAAGATCAGTGTAGTTTAAGTTATCTTCAAATCCTATAGTGAGTTACAATAAGTACTAGAAGAAATCTTTTTCTCAATCTTATGACATACTTTTGATCAAGATATGTGTAGTTTGATAAGTTTTCTTCAAGTTCAGAAAGTAATGGCAGAAAATTTAGTCTCAATCAATTAACTTATTATTCATCTAGATATCTATATAGTTTAAACATTTCTCTTCATATCCTATAGTGTGCTACAAGAAGTACTGGAAAAAACTTTGGTCTCATACGAAAAACATATTATTAATCTAGAGATCTACATAAGTTAAAAATTTCCTTTCAAATAATGTGTTCAACTACAGGAAATATTGGAAGAAACTTTGATCTCCACCTAATAACGTATTATCCATGTAATTTTTTAGGTTTGATAGTGAGAAAGGACAACCCTGAGTATTTTCTTGATGCACAATTTGATGGAAATAAAAAGAAAGTATGGGAATTGGGAAGAGATGGATTGACAGGAGTCGAAGCTACACTGAAGTTAGTTAAAACGTAAGTTTGTAACATTTGAACATTCGAACTTCGCGCTGTTCTCGTTTTTATAGGCAGCACAGGCAGTTTTTCACGCATTATAAAGTTTACTTAAAGTTCAAAAATAAATTAAATATTTAAATGATGGTTTATCTCATTTCAACATCTCCAAGGGAATTTTTTTTCCAACTTCAATTGTGATTTTTGTTCTCAAGTTCGAATCCCATGCTATTGAAAATTTTCAGCAATAGCGTGTAAGTTAGGAGAGCCTAATTGCAAAACTAATCTAAACTTAACGAGAAAAATATTGAAAATAAAAATATTGTTTGCTCAAAATTTTTGTATGGCAGAAAAATTTAGCAATTTTATTCATTTCAAGTGTCATTCCATGTTAAAATTGAGAAATTGTCTTCATTCACTGCATTATATTTTAAGAAAAACCCTAGATTAGTTTTAACTTCAGATATACTCCATTACGTTCATTACGTTGTTTCCCAGGTAAGATAATTATTTTAAATAAACATTAAAATTAAAAAAAAATAATACAAAGCGAGCAATTATTGAATCTTAATATTTTAAAATTACATTGCAATATTTTTTACGTATCATACATTTCAATGTTTTTTTGTGTGAAGGAAAATAAGAATTTTGGATTTCATCTAAATAAATTAAAGTAAAGGGTAAAAATGAATTAAAAATGGAAAGTTTTTAGTTTGTTTATTTATTCTCAGAAACTAGTTTTTTTAAGGTGTGGTTTTATTCTAATTTGTACTCATTGAAATATATTTCCATGGATTTCTTCTTCGATTATTAGATTTGAACCAAGGATATTTTTTTCACATCTTGAAAATATAACAAGGAAATTTTAAAAATAATTTTAAATTTATTATTCTTCGTAAAATTAAAACCCATTTTTTCAGGCATCATGCAATATTTTCAAATTATTGCTACAAATAACTCAGCAGCAAATAAATAAATTGCTGTTTAACAATTACTTTTCAATCTGTCATGTTTATCTAATTTTGAACCATTTTTTTTATTAAACCATATTTTATTCCAGGATACAGGAATATTAAAAACATTTTTTTGCGAAGGTTCTTCTTTAATAAAATGGCTATCATTCGAAATAAATTTTTAAATTTAAGTAAGGAATTTAAATTTTTAAATTTATTATTATACTAATAATAAATTTAAAAATTGAAATTCCTTACTTAAATTTAAAAATTTATTTCGAATGATAGCCATTTTATTAAAGAAGAACCTTCGCAAAAAAATGTTTTTAAAATTCCTGTATCCTGTTTCGTATTATCGTATATCAAGGAATCAGGAGTATAGTTAAGTTATCCAGTTTATTAATATTCTAATCTAACTCTATACCATTATATCATTATTCCAATATATAGTAATGATTATATAGCTAGAGGGCATCAAGCTATTTTTTAATTACTTAGGTGCTTTCATTACTTAAAATTTGAAAATTTGTATAATCGTTGAAAAGGTATTTATTCCATAAACAAATTCCATTTAGCAAAAGGCTTATCAAATACGATGCAATATTTGAAATAAATTCAATTTCAAAAATTATACCAAGTTGAGTCGCGATTATCCGAATTTCCGCTTTAACCGAGCTATCAGATATTTCAAGGATTTTTTTTTTGTTCTAGTTTATTTTTTATTTCTAAAATTACCGCCAGAAAAAAAGTCTGAATTTTATCTCCGAAACGCTCAGGAAAACTAAATCCAACAACTTGATCCGATGAAATGATCATTAATATCGTCAATAATTACAATGAATCTAGCGAAGATGATGAAGACGACGAAAATCAAAGCATATAAATATCTCTCATACAGATGGACTAAAAGTTATCGAAAGTGCTAATGAATATTTAGAACAACAGGAAGAGGCAACATCAGCTTTCCTGTTATCCCTAAAAAAATGGCGAAACATTGCTGCAGAAAAGCGCCCAAGTAGTGTAAAGCAAAAAACTTTTTTTAAGTAAGAACTCTCGTAAAGTATGCTCTTTGGGTGTTTTTAAGGAAGCTTTTCAATCATAATGTGAATTGTATGTGATGTACTCGTATAAATCTGGTATTTGTTAAGTACATTGCATTTATACCTACTCTTTTTCTTTCCTTTTTTATACTCTTCGCTTTAACCGAGTGTTTCGGTTATCCGAGTAAGTTGTGTCCACATTAATTCGGATAATCGGGACTCTACTGTTAGCAAATTACAAGGGGTGATCAAATGAAAAGTTACGAAACGACACGGTGGGTACAAATGTAGACTTTATTCAAAATATACACCATAGGCCTGTGCACAGCGATCCCACTGATGAACAAGCCGCAGGATCCCCAGAATTCATGTGGTCTTGACGAGACCCAGTCCTTCACAGCGTCCTTGAGTACGTCGTCCGAGTTGAAGAGCTTCCCTTTCAGGTGAACCAAACACATGAAAATCGCAGGGCGACTAGTCCGGATTGTAGGGTGGATGGTCCAACGTCTCCCACTTGAACTTGGTCAGTTCCATGTGTGTGAGACTGGCGACGTGTGGACGCGCTTTATCATGGAGCAGAACCACACTCTCCGTGAGCAGCCCCGGTCTTTTGTTCTCGATGGACCTGCGTAGGCGTCAGAGTGTCTCACAGTACACTTACAGACTTAATGGCTTTTCTGTGCTCGAGGAAATCGGATAACTCCTCGCTGCTCCTCAATCGTCGAATTTTGCAAGGCCAACGCCATCCAGTCCTCATACGGACTGCCGCATCATTTGGACGCCGCTTTTGATAAGAGCCTCTGCTCTCTCCTGCTCATGCGGGCACCAGCGCATGCTCCGATCCCAGTCAGAGACTCAAATCGCATCCCGAGATGTCTCGCTACGTTCTCCCATGGCAGAATATGCAAATATTTAACTGTTACGTTTTTACGTCGTTTCGTACCTTTTCATTTGATCACCCCTTGTATTATTGTATTTTTCAGGTTCCAGTTGAGTTCTATGCAGAGTAAGGAAAGATTAAGGCACATTAGTCTAGCTAACACCGTTATTGCTGATACTTGTCCTAAATCATCTCCTTGTCCAACAACGAAATACCGGACGTCAGATGGTTCTTGTAATAATTTATTGCACCCAGAATGGGGAAAATCTTTTCAAACGTATTCGAGGATCTTGCCTCCTCGATATGCCGACGGTTAGTAAACTTATGAATTAAAATAATTCAACTTTTAAACATGGAAGTTATTTAAAATTGAAATTTAGAGCTCTGTATGATATTTGTACTAGAAACTATTATTTTTTTCACGAAAACAGTTTTTGTATTTATATATAACTCAAACGCTACTAAAGAATATCTTTTAAAAACATTCTTTCATCAAGTATAATCACACAGCATAAGTGCAGAAAATATTGTCATTTTTGCCACAGTATTGGCAAAATTATAAGATAAAAAATAACGCTACTGTAATTGTAGTTACTCTGTTAGAATTTTCATTCTAAAATTATGACTAAATTACCAGTAGCTGTTTGTACATCCAATTCACCGTTAAGTTTACGGTAAAGAAAATTTTTTACCGTTCTGGTTTTAAAACCATTTACAACTAATATGATTAAAAAACTATGAACCATACGGTTTTTTAGCCATTTACAACTAGCATGGCTTCAAATCCGAAATAAGAAATTTCACTGGACAATAGAGATAGTTTAACAGCTTTATGGTGGTGCCATCTATGCGTAAATGATAGTAGTTTTTTTAATAGCTCAAAGTCACAAATTCGGGAATGCAGGACACTGGAAATTTTACATGTGTTGAAGGGAATTAAAAAAATATTGTGGTGTCAGTTCTGGGACTCGAACTTCTGTCAGTCAGTCATGAGATTGACGGATTTATTCTCTCAGGTGTAGTAGGTACGCATCTGTAAGGTACTAAGTGGCTTCATTTGGTGGGCTTAGTTAGGGCGATAAAATCCTGGTTGTTTAACCGTATTAGATAAAAGCAGTTAAGGAACAATTTTCGCACAATTAGCAGTTTGAATTCAATACTATATATGGTAATTTGACTGTTATGGAATATGATAAAATAACAATTAAATAAATTGTAATTTAACCTATTTTTCCGAGAAATTTTCAACAGTGTACAGTTTAGAGTATCAAAATATTTAAAGAATTTCCGAAAAACTCCAATTGTAAAAGCTTGATTACAGCGGGTTTAATTTAATAGAAAAATTTAGTAGTTCTGGCTTTTAGTGACAAAATCGAGCTGAACCTCCTTTCCTTGAAAAGGATCGACTTGGTTTCCAAACACCTCATTTTTAATAGCATCGAAAAATTATAACAAATACGAGTAGATGATAACAAATAAATTATAACAAGTACGAGTAGTTAATAACAAATGAATTACGACAAAAAGAATTATAACAAATGGATTATAACAAATGAATTATTACAAATACGAGTAGATAATAGCAAATGAATTATAGAAAATAAATTAAAAGTGAACGAGTAGAAAGGCAATTGTAATATCGTCATAGCAGCGCATGTAATGACGACGCATGCGCACTGTTTACTGTTACTCTTGAACACAGTTGAAATGTGTGTGGACGCCATCAAATCCAAACCAAGACCCATTTTGTCAATGGGTAATAGCAAGTAAGAGTAGTTAATAAAAGAATTATAACAAATGGTTTATAACAAATAAATTATAACAAATATGAGTAGATAATAGCAAATAAACTATAACAAATACAAGTAGATAGTAACAAATGATTTATAACAAATACAAGTAGATAATAACAAATGATTTATAACAAATAAATTATAATAATTACGAATTGATAGTAACAAATAAAATATAACAAATACGATTAGATAGTAATAAATAAATTTTAACAAATATGAGTAGAAATTTTATGTTACAACAATTTCTATAGCGTTACAGATGAAAATAAATAGAATGTTTGTTTATTTATTTATATAGGAAAGACATATTTTACAAATAGAAATAATTTTTTATACATGACTTCGTAAATTTTGTACCACTCGTAGACGCATCATGTAAAAGTGATAAATTTTTGCTCATTTGAAGGAATAAATGAAGCACGAGCATCATACGATGGAGGACCTTTACCAAGTGCCAGAGAAGTGTCACAACGAGTGTTTTATCCCTTGGATAGACCGAGTCGGAAAATCACAACAGCTTTTACTCTGTGGGCTCAATTTTTAGGTTACGATTTGTCACTCACAGGTGTTACGCATGGTAAGTACAACATCACTTCTGTTTTATAGATATTTGATTGTTATTTTTTTTAAACTTATGATATTTTACTTAAAATATTTCTTATAGAGCACGTTTAAATATTTTTATGTTAAAATAATTCTATTCTATTCTGAAAAGAGGGAATAATTCTGTTTTGTCACATATTATTCTTTACAAGTTGTGGGATGCAAACTTCTCGTAAATTTCATTAATTTTTAATTGTATAGGTGGAGCTGTTTTCCCCACCTATGACTTGTGCTGCCATCTTCTGATAAATTCAGAAAATACAAAAAAGTACTAATGAAAGGCTTAGTTTACATAAATGTGGGTAACAGTAAAGGCTAGTGTGAGGTCAAAAAGAGAGGCCAACATTGGGGAGAAAAGATTTTCCTGTGTATTATGTGTTCGTTCATTTGATCAAATCTCATCGAGTTTATTTGTAGTTATAAACAATTTATAAATACACAAGTTCATGTTTATGGCTTTCTTTTTTCCGAATTCTTTTTTAATTTGGTAAAATTTTGAGAATACGACCCATCTTACCCCAAAAAGAATGTCTTAGAAATCAAGTGTGTTTTATGTAATAAGCTAAACAAATTTCTTTTTATAGTTTAGTCTCAATTCTGAAAATATTTTAACAGAACATTACTTTAAAAAAAATGACCCTAAAACGGAAAACGAGAACTTTTTTTACTCCACTTGAAAAATGTGTGTTTGTTAAAATTTTTATTTTATTATTTAAAAAAAAAAGTTTTACTGTCTGTCAGTGTCGGAAAGTGGGCAAAATTTTGATTGGCGATAAATTTTATTTGAAAACAGGGAAAGCCAGTACAGAGCTCTTGTTAGAATTTTAGTACTTTAGTTAGACGAAAGAAGTCAAAATTTCAATTCTTTATAATTTTTGATGAAGTGGTCAAAAAATGACCGTAACTTAAATTATTATTTGACTCAATAATCTAGTTTAAATTTGAACATGGTTAGAAAGTAGTCTAAACTTTAATTAGCGATAAATTCTACTGTAATAGACAGGGCACGAGTGAAACTATTACTATTTAACTGAGAACTCTAATTAGAATTTAAACCCTCTAGTTAATTGGAAAGTGATCAAACTTCTATTGCATCGTTTGCCGCTCAAAAGTATACATGTACGAAAGGGAGTTAAGTAAAAAGTATTAAAACAACAATGGTAAATAAATAGATTAAGAAATTTTGTATTGTATTAATGATGGACTTCTTATAGTTAAACATTCTTTTGTTTTTCAGCTGGAAGTGGAGATGGAATCCTTTGCTGTCATCCTGAAATACAGAACAATCAGAAGCTTTTGCACCCGCAATGCATGCCCATTCATGTACCGGACAACGATCCGTTATATAAAGAATACAATGTAACTTGCATGCAATTTCTACGATCAGTAGCAGCTCCACGATCTGACTGCACATTTGGTAAATATTAATTTTTTTTTATTTTTCTTGTTAAGTATTTGACCATTCTGAAATATTTTTGATTTTTAAGCTTTTAATAGTTTGAAATAAAATTTTATTTATTAGAAACCATTTATTAGTATTATTAGGACATTTTAACTACAAAAATAGACAAACGTCAACATTGAGCAGCGTGGGAAATAACAAGGAACAAGCACAAGGAATGTCAAAGAATGTTTCGGTACTATAACAAACCACCATCTTCAGTGTCAAGACGCAGAATGAAAAGGAGAAACAAAGAGATGCAGGAGAAATGACAAAGTTACAACAAAGGAAAAACGATTATTCAACAGGGTAGAGGAACATAATCAAACGAGATCAACAGTGATCAACAGTTGATAAACAATAGAAAAACGTATATGTGTGGATGTAGTGCTACGAATGCTACAAGATGTGAGAACGCAATCTATTACAAAATGTAGAAATCAAAATAAAACAGATTTAAAAACATTTGAAAATGGATAAAAGAAATATGACATAGGATTTTTTAAAAATATAGCATGATTCCCAGAAATCTAAGTTAGTGGCCGAGTACAATGTTGAATGATATTCCACTTGAAAAATTATGTAATATTTCTGCTGAAATTATTTAGCGTTGCATCTCAGCCGCAGCTTCCATTGTTCGTTCCCCTATCCATTGGACAATCCTTTTTTGTTTTTGTAGTTTGTAATTTCTCCTCTATTTTAGCGTTTTTTTCCCTATCATCTCGTGTTTCAACCCTGAAGGTACTTTAGTTTAATACCAAAATGATCGTATGCCTATTTGCGTGATAATAGAAAGATTTCGTGAAGCGTTACGGTCTCCCCTAGCTCTAACGTTAATGCTATTTGAGATTCACGGCGCATGCGCAAAAATTTCAGTACAAATTGCTGTATCGCAAACGAGTTAGCGTTACAATTAACGTAAGACAAGCACTATGCTGAATCTTTCTATTATTACAGTTTCTTTAACGTTACGTTACAACTTATACATAACTTTATATTTCAGTTACATTACAAAAAATTAATTACAAACTCTGATATATCTGTACAAAATATTTTCTCAAAACTATCATAATACTTTTGTAGAGGCTTTGCTTTTTTTATGAGATTTTTGTATATTTTATGAAGATAAATAAGTTTTAACTATTTTTAAAGGCAATTTTATTTAAAAATTGCAAATCACATCCGAAGAAATTCGCATATATTTTGTTGATATGATTATTCGCGAGATTAAAATTATTTGTATCTTGCTTCGGAGTATAATTTATGGGCATTAGAAAAGGCCGGAAGGAGTACTTTTATTTTCACTTCTTATCTGAGTTCTAGAAAATATCTTTCTTCAAATTTGTTTGTTTTGAGTAGAGTTTTTCTTACGAGTAAAAAGAAAATGGCAATAATAGTTTCTCTTTGCATTACGTGGTAATATATAATAGCTGGAAGAGATGCAATAATTCTTTTTTATTTCATCTTTTCTTATGTGCTCTTCTTTTCAATTAATTTTTAGAGACCATTGTGCCATCGATTTACTTCATCGATTGCAGTTATTTTTTTCCCCTTCTCAATCGTTTCATTTTTCTCAAAGATGAGTTTTGAAACTTAGTTGTTCGCTACTTTTTGTCTGTTTAATGAAACAAATGTATTTATGTACGATTGATTATGATAATAAAATTGTAAGCTAGAATTTATTTAGTTTAGCCACTATTTTGTTAATTGAAATTGACCTACCAAAAGAAAAAAAGACTTCATAATAAAATTATTTTCAGTTAAATGAATTCCTATTTGGAAATTTCTCTCAATCCTAAGAATGTTTTTAATTAACATAACTAGAAAAAATGGTCTTATAAAGAGTTAAAGGATTCAAACTTCACATGATCTATTTTAGACCTATTTTTCATCAATGGCACAAATCTTTCAGATTGTGGCTACCCTTTATAGCAGAGGTCTAAAATCTCAATTTGTTAAAAAAAGATATGGTTTTGCAGCAATAGTACATTTGTATTTTTTGATAAATTTAGTAACTTGATCCTTTTCGATTGTATGTCTATTATTTTTAGCTACCAAGGCTTTTAATTATTTCAGTTGTAAATTTTACCCGTACTTTAACCCACCAAAGCTTTATTTGTTTATTTTTTACCGTTTTAGTCACGTGTCTACGCTCAGTCTTCAGAGTTTCTCATCATTCTAGTTGTATGTCTACTAAAAAACTTTCAGCTGCCGAAACTTTTTTTTACCGTTTCAATCGCATGTCTACTTTCAACTACCTAAGTTCCTTTTTTTCCCTTTTTCTTAGTGTTTTAGTTGTATGTCTACTCTCAGTCACCAAATCTTTTCATCATTCCAGTTGTATGCCTACTAAAAAACTTTCCCCTGTCGAAGCTTTTTTTTTTTTTTTTACCGTTTCCATCGTATGTCTACTTTCAACCACCAAAGCTTCTTCTTCTTCTTTTTTTTTTAGCATTTTAGCTGTATGTCTACTCTCAGTCACCAAAGCTTTTTACCATTATAGTTCTATGTCTACTCTCAGCTGCCAAAGCTTTTTAACCGTACGAGTCGTATATTTCTTCTTTCCACCACAGTGAAGAACCATAATTCTCTTATAGTAGAGAATAATGATGTTCACTTAACACAATGCCCAAAAAATGACCAAAATATCGAAATTTTTTTTATTGCTTATAATAAAACTTCAAACTATTTTGAATGCACTAAAAAAATCATCTTTCTGTTTACATTTTTAAAAAAAGTTATGAATGATTTTAGATTTCTCTAATACAGAAACTTGCTCAGCAGACAGACTTTAAAGTGCTGTTTCTCATAGATGATAATTCTGTGTTTTAATCTCAATTAAATTCCTAAGGAATTTTTTATCTAGTAAACTTTTTTATAACTATTTTTTTCTCACGTAAACTTTTTTATCTTAAGTATAATACATTTATCTAAACTGTGCATGGAGTAAGTATTTTATGAGGTATTAAAATTTTTACAGCATATTATATATACCCAACAGGAATTTTTAACCTTTTTTTTCTACTTTTTTACAAAATCATCTATAAAAAATATTCTAATTGATATATCAACAAATGAATGCACAAAATTGTTAAGATAAATGGAGTAAGCACTAAGAAATTTTTTTTTTTTTGAAAATATGTTAAAATAAAAACAGCCTTAAAAATTTAAAGGTTTTCAATAATTTTTTAAATTTTAAGAAAATTAAACAGTATAAATATTTTTTGAAGATAAATTATTGATTATAAGTTAAATGAGCATGTAAAGTATCCACGAAATGAATGATTATACCTTTATTTAAAAAAATTGTTGCAAGGATACTGTGACCCCTGTTCCAGACGCAACTGCGTGAACGCAGATGCAGTGATTATTTATTACATTATTTCTTATATTATTTCTTACATTATTCTTTTGTTGGCAACATGTATATATTCTTTNCAGTCACCAAAGTTTTTCATCACTCCAGTTGTATGTCTACTAGAAAACTTTCACCTGCCAAAGCTTTTTTTTTTACCGTTTCAATCATATGTCTACATTCAACCACCAAAGCTTCTTTTTCTTCTTCTTTTTATTAGCGTTTTAGTTGTATGTCTACTCTCAGTCTCCAAAGCTTTTCATCATTCCAGTTGTATGTCTACTGAAAAACTTTCACCTGCCGAATCTTTTTTTTACTGTTTCAATCGTGCGTCTACTTTCAACCACCAAAAATTCTTTTTTTCCTCTTTTTTTCAGCGTTTTAGTTGTATGTCTACTCTTAGTCACCAAAGCTTTTCATCATTCCAGTTGTATGTCTACTAAGAAACTTTCACCTGCCAAAGCTTTTCTTACCGTTTTAATCGTATGTCTACTTTCAACCAACAAAGCTTTTTTTTCGTCTTCTTTTTTTTAGCATTTTAGTTGTATGTCTACTCTCAGTCACCAAAGTTTTTCATCACTCCAGTTGTATGTCTACTAGAAAACTTTCACCTGCCAAAGCTTTTTTTTTTACCGTTTCAATCATATGTCTACATTCAACCACCAAAGCTTCTTTTTCTTCTTCTTTTTATTAGCGTTTTAGTTGTATGTCTACTCTCAGTCTCCAAAGCTTTTCATCATTCCAGTTGTATGTCTACTGAAAAACTTTCACCTGCCGAATCTTTTTTTTACTGTTTCAATCGTGCGTCTACTTTCAACCACCAAAAATTCTTTTTTTCCTCTTTTTTTCAGCGTTTTAGTTGTATGTCTACTCTTAGTCACCAAAGCTTTTCATCATTCCAGTTGTATGTCTACTAAGAAACTTTCACCTGCCAAAGCTTTTCTTACCGTTTCAATCGTGTGTCTACTTTCAACCACCAAAGCTTCTTTTTTCCCTCTTTTTTTTAGCGTTTTAGTTGTATGTCTACTCTCAGTCACCAAAGCTTTTCATCACTCCAGTTGTATGTCTACTAAAAAAACTTTCACCTGCCGAAGCTTTTTTTTTCCCGTTTCAATTGTATGTCCACTTTCAACCACCAAAGCTTCTTTTTTTATCATTTTAGTTTTATGTCTACTCTCAGTCTCCAAAGCTTTTGACCATTATAGTTCTATGTCTACTCTCAGCTGCCAAAGCTTTTTTACCGTACGAGTCGTATATTTGCTCTATCCACCACAGTGAAGAACCACAATTCTCTTATATCAGATAATAATGATGTTTACTTAACATAATACCCAAAAAATGACCAAAATATCGAAAAAAAATTTATTGCTTGTAATAAAACTTCAAACTATTTCGAATGCACTGAAAAAAAATCATCTCTCTATCTACATTTTTAAAAAAGTTATGAATGATTTTAGATTTCCCTAATACAGAAGCTTGCTCAGCAGACAGACTTTAAAGTGCTATTTCTCATAGATGATGATTTTGTTTTAATCTTAATTAAATTCCTAAGGAATTTTTTCTATTTAAGATAAAGCTTTGAAGTAAACTTTTTTATCTTAAGTATAATACACTTATCTAA